TAAATGTTCGCAGGCTCACTCTCGCATGTGCACGTGCGGTTTCATTTAATATCGATATATTTTGTTCACCGTTACGAGAAATTGGGGTTAAGCTATTAGGGAAAATAACGTGATGAGGTTGGGCGATAGGCCAGTGATGTGATGGTGTCCTAGGAGGTAGCGAGCGGCCTAATGCCGTATTTAGTGGCTCCGCGTTATTAACATGGAATTTGGTAAACGTGCCCCAATGAATTATAAGCAAAGCGGTCACAAAGTGGACCGGGTGTTAGAAAGTCAGTGGCTGATTCTAGAAAACACCACGGTGACATTTTGCCTTAAGTTGCACTACTTAAGCATAAACATCACGTGAACGGGTGCACTACTTGAGCATATTGGCACGAGACAGAGGAAAGTGGACACACGTGAGGAAATGTGCAGTGGATGCCTATTGCCCATGGATCGTGATGATGAACATGCCACTTGAGATTGCTATTCTTTATTCAATTCACGATTGGGACTGTGGGGCAAGGGATAGCCCCAGCTGCGTCTATAGCCGGACTAACAAAGAAGTTAACCTCCCCGTGATATCAGCCGGGCCAAACAAAGAAATTAGACTAAACCAAATCACACAATTTTTCTGGGTCAATGTTGGCCATCCAATTATGGCCTGGTACAGCATCCGAACTCAGCCAAGCCTTATCACTGTGAAATTCTCAAGATTAAATCTACAAATTTGGCCGTGAAAAAAAATCGCCGGCAAGCGTGTTCACTCCGCTCCGCGACCGCCCGCTCCCAACAGGTGACGCTTCACAGCCGAGACCGCCTCCACCGTCATCAGCAACTTCCACCTCGACTCAGGGTGATAGGGACCCCTCCTTGCCAAGAACGAGCGGATAACGCCAAGGTCGGACGGAACAGAAGGTCGCGGGCGCTAATTAAGAACGCCCCGCGTGTGTGTGTGTGTTGCTTCAAGAGAGCGGGTGTGAAAATCCAGACCGCGGCTGCAGCGCGCGCCCCGCGGCCCCATTGTTCCGCACTCGCGTGGCCTTAATTGTTGACACTGGGCAAAAAATACGCCTCGTAAGACTTGGGGGAGGGGTGACAGGTGGAGGAGATGAGCCCTACGCGGGGCCGCGCGTGCACAGTGCTACCCCCCCCCCCCCACCCTTGACGTTCCCGATTTCCGCGTGCGCTCAGGTCGCGACTCGCATTTGTACCATCCGTGGAGGACAAATTAATTCCACGATTGTAAATCACTTTTTTGTTGTTGCGTGTAACAATGGCACACCTTTCATAGTGTTTTTTCTCCCTCCCCCCCCCCATTCAGGAAGTGCACTGCACAGTTGTGTTATTATATGAAGGGAGAATATTAGGTTACAAAAATGAATGAGCATCGCTGAATTCAGGGTTGAGCGTCATACCACGGCTGGAATGAACCTCCTGGTATGAATTGAGCCGCGCTGACAACGCGTGCCACAACCCTGCACACAGCGACTCGTTTCGTCACTTTGAACGTAACACGGGGACATTTACACAACACTTAGAAGTCGACTTATTCTGCTCACACACATTTAATTCCTTTAGATAAAACGTAGGTTGTTAGAATGGCAAAAAAAATGTGGCCTCAGAATCACTTCCATACATAACCGGATTATATTTTTTTAAAACGATGCTTGACGCATTCGGCACGCGCACTCCCAGCAGGGCAAGTCACATTTCCCAAACCGTATAACGCCGGGATCGGGACATTTTATGGGACAAACACGCTCCTACCCTTTTGCAACATCAATCAAATGACAAAGCCAATTGTTGTCCAGTTTACAACCCACTGGGGAGAAGACCGATGGATGTGTACGGAATACCCACTGCGTGAGCCACAAAAACTCGTGTTGCCAATCCTACTGGAGGAAATCCTCAAGAGGAAATTCTGCATTGCGTGCAGTAACACAGCACACAAGGGGGAAAGGGGGCTAGGCACGCACAACTTCAGGCCCTCAAGAGGACGCTGCCCATTCTTGATAGGAAAGTTTATCGGTCGGAAAGAATTTTAACAAAAACCCCTTCGCTGCACGAGAAATATCCACAGGAACCGAGACGCCGATGATCCCAAAGACAAAATGCGGACGGGAAGGTTGGAGCTGTGCATCCCAACCAGGTGTGAGCTGCTGCTGCCGCTTTACAGTGGAGCGCTGGTTACACTCACGGCTGAACCAAGTAGGTGGGGGAAGTGAGAAACGTGCCCACGGTTTCAACTGCTGCGCTGGGAGACAGAACCGGTGACCTGTGGACTGCTATTTGAGGGTCCTATCCGTTACACCATCGCAGCATCCCCCACCCCCGCCTCCTCGATTAGCGTGTTGGGGATTAATGCTGCGTGAGCTGAACAAGGGGCGGGGGGACGCAAGACGCTCCAGAGGCCACGAGCTGCGCCTTCCTTCCCCTACGGTGAACGCGCGCGAGCGCTCTCTAGCTTGACGAGTCGCTCGTCGCAACAGATTCTCGCCAACGACCCACGGACGCTAACTGCGAAGGTCCTTCCCCACTACGCGGTGGGACTTGGAGGGGGGAGGGGGCGAGCGAAAAATATTGAGAGGCAAATTAAGACGTCAGGACGCGGCCCAATTACGCACATAACGTGCCACGTAATAGCAAGACTTGTCTGGCTAATTAGGCACGCGAGTCGGATGGTTTCGGCTTCTGGCTGCCGAAGCTTCAGCCCGTGGCCTTCCCATCAGCGTGTTTGCGACTGTCAAAACAGCCCCTATGCGCGCGTCAGGAAAGCACCTGGGTGCCAGATCTGCGATGCGTCACGGTCTCGGTAACTCACGGGAGCTATGCGCATTCTTAAAAGAGAAACCGTCCTTACGTTCAACAACGCACCACCAACCCGCCCCCCCCCCCAAATTAGCAGCCTTTGTTCAACGAAGACACGGACTGGAACTGCACCGGCGAGAGGCTGCGATGGCTGGGCGAGTTAACCCGCAGGTCATGTGGGGTTATTACGATCACCAGTGTGGAATGGGGGGGGGCAAGCATTGATTGGCGTACGCGTGCGTCACACGGGGGGGGGGGGGGGTCAAGAAGGTCTTTGGACTCGGTTATCGAGTCCGATGACTGGATGGAGAGAGGAAGAATAAACGTGGGCGAGCCGTATTTTTGGAGAACTTAGTCGTCGTGACCACGCAAAGAATAGACACGATACGATTCAGGTAATGTCCTTACCAAATTTTGTAAAAAAACAAAATTGTTGTATAATCATCCTAATTTTTAAGGACATCAAAGTATATTCATTGCTCGATTATTATTACTTATAAGGGGAAAAGGTGGGCAAAAAATATCGTTCATACCGAAATGCATTGTTGTCAGAGACCAATGTTTTACATTTGCCAATGTTGAGCAGCTGTTCTACGATTATAATATACAGAAATCAGTCGACTCTCAGTGTTGCATAAAATTGATCTAACTCATAAGACGACAACAACCACGGGCATCAAGGCTACCGAGGACAAACAGGAATCTTCTGGTAGTTACACTTTCCTTTCGTTTGTTGTCTAAAACAGTGCGCACTTTGGGATATTTTTTCATGAAGGATGTTTAATGCAGACTGGCCACTGGCCTGCAGGCTCCTGCCAAGACAAAGGAGTTACCAGATTAAAAAAAAAACACAAAAACAGGGGACTTAAACGAACAGGCAATCCAACGCACAAATGAGCTCTTATCTTCCGCTTACACACGCAGGCTGCGCTTCCAAGGCTGCCCAGACGGACATGGAGCTCGAAGCTTCGTTAATGAGAAAAGAGAGAAATTAAAGTAAAAGTCATGCGCTGCTACAGCGACGTCACCGTCGTTAATTGTAAAGATAACGTCGTCGTCGTCGCCGCCGCCGCAGTGATGTCACTGCGGTTGAACTCGCCCGTGAGTGTAAATCAGTAGATTGTTCTCATTAACGAGGCTTGAAACTCACATGGGATATGCCGGGACATGCACGTTAGGGTACGCATTTAATCATCGGCCACGATCAATCCACCGGTGGACGAAGGCCTGCCCCAGACGCTGCCCTCTCTCACGATCCTGCTGCGACTTTGCTAATGCACCAAGCACTCGCACACGAGCCAATTTTACCGCTCCATCTCCCCCGGTGGACGTGCCGTCGCGACGCATTCCATTCCTCGGCTGCCACTCCATCGTGACCATCGCCCATCATCCATTCGAGTGACGTGGCCTGCCCAAGCCGAGCAGACTTAACATTTATTAACAGTAGGCTCACATGACATTGAATTCTCCAAGACAGAGGTTATTTGCAAGCCATCTGGCTACCATGAGAGATTCGTTCATGAGGCTATCCAGATATACAAACACAGAGACAATTTCAACCAAGAAGATGGATTCTGGCTTAGCAATCATTGGAAGGATTTGATAAACCATTTCGGGTCTTAATTGATTGTTCACGCTTACGGTGGCTTTCAGACCGCATCCATTATTTTCGTCTCCCCCCTCCTCTCTTCCGAACATAGATGGACTCGTTCATCTGAAAAACTGCCAAATCGCTCTCCGTGGTGCTAACGTTAAAAAAACCGCCACTTTTTTCAAATTTTCTTGTTGTGGTTTTCACACCTGATGATTGCTTGTGTTGCAGTCGAAACGCCGTGAGAATTTTATTGTTTTATATTTTTATTATTTTATTGTTTCCCTTCTACGTGACTTTACCGAAAGAACCAAGAATATGAATCCCTGCAGTCACGAAAGCTTTAAATTAAAGTTTGAATGACGTTAATGGACCTCCGCATGTTCTCATATCGAAGAGCCATTTGGAGTCTTTCCATTACGTTTTCCCTTTAACTTTGTACGATCATAATTAGCACTTGTGTTGATGTGAAAAACCTAACATGTAGACGCACACAGCTTCAGGACGTGACTATGTTACACACACAGCTCAAAGCCCAACTTGACCTGGGACCACCCCCCAAACATGCAGGCACTTTATAAAAAAAACACCAATAAAAATAATTATAAACCTATTATGTGGTTCTCACAATAAACTTGAATTGAGAGGCTCCATTTTATCATCTGAGGCCTGAACGTGTTCACCAATGCCTGGCAGACAAGCGCAGGGGATATTCACGCGAGTAAAACTTTGCCCTTAAATTCCTGACGCAAAAAAACACAATGCCACTTGCAACAGTGGCGGTAATCACTGCCCCGCACACCCTGCAGAATGAGGACACCGTTCTGCACGTCAGGGTAGTATCGGTGCGCAGGACCTGTGGCGTTTTGGCCGATCATGTTCCGCCGTGGAATTTCGGAAACCTCAATTTGATTTTTGCGAGCGTGATGGGGAAAAATTTGCCGAGATTTGGGTTCGTTTGTTTTCGCTTGCGTGTGTAAAACTGTTTACCTCTTCAAATATGGAGTAAATATTTCGGTGAAAAAGGCAACAACACCACTGCCCGTGATTGTACGGGAGAGGATGGAGAAACGTTATGTTCCCATGGTGCTGCCACACACTTGGGACACAGGTACAATATACCGTACACACCTCGGTGCGCTTAACGCCGCGTAAGCTTACGCCGCGTTAAATGAGCCGAGAGCTTTGCTTGCCGGCAAAATAAGGTGATTGCAAGCAGCACTTGTGGCTATAACTGGAAGCACTTGTTGCAATCCTCATCAAGTCGCGAACATCTGCCAAACGCGACACACGTGAAAAGGCGAAGGAAGATTTGTACTCGAGTGTGCTGAACTTGGGAACGGTGAACCTCATAAAAATTCAACTTAGCGGACACTCAATTTATCAGATACACAAGTTAGAAACGAGTTAATTTAAAGAAAGGAAAACTCATTTCGTTAGATCATTGAAAAACAAGAGGACGGAATCAACATTCAAACAGATGCCCTCCTTCAAGATGGGGCTCAATTCTGTGCTCGACACTGCCAGCCAGCCAAAACGGCAATTGTTTTTCTCTGTTTAGGAGAACAACCCCCCCCCCCCCCAACCCAAAAAACAATTCATATTTTGTCTCTCCCACATATAAACTACAATTATTTTCAGTGGCATCAGTATGCTGGAAGGCAGTGGACGTGATGAGTATGGATTTCCACAACTTGCGCTCGGTCGAAAGGACATTTAGAACTTCCAAAGACCATGGTGTGCTGGGCACCCCTGCCGTCCTCCTCTGGGATGATCAACGCCCAAGTGGGGTCGCACAACACCCAAGGAACCATCACTTTTCCTGTGCATTTTAATCCGTGCATTTGATTAGCAGGCACACGGCCGGTAGCCACGGAAAGTATATTCTCACTGCAGTGTGAGGGGTCCGTGGAAGAACGCAGTAACGACCCAACAATTTCAACGATTAGTAAGAGTCACAGGGCACCGACGCAAACGAAAGTGAACAGAAGAACACGCGTCCGTCCCGAGAAGCGGCACTTCCGTGTGCGACATAGCAAACAAATGAAGGCACAAATGAAAAGCCGGCTCCGTGTGTACGCACACCGTGTACATATATACAGCAAGCACATTGCACCTCTCTTGCTTAAAGGAAACTTCGTAAAATAAACGGTGAAATACACAATTCATATGTAAAAATAAACATATTCATGTTATAACATTTTGGAAGCAACATTCTCTTCAAGCAATGTAGTCAAATGTAAGGGCAAGTCAGTTTTCACAGTAGTCTGTGCAATTTTTTGTCTAGTTTTTTTTTTACAAAAAGTGACTGATAACACAATATTACAAGCCTCTGTATTATTATCATCATCATCACATACGCATGAACAACGGGGCTCTATTATTTTTGTTAAAGCTATGCATACGTAAAAAACAAAACCTTCGCCTTTGTTAAAACGGAACGGCTTATTATTTATCCTACGCCCGTATGGACCGACGGCGACGTAGCGCCACGCCGCCAAGACACGCGGCGAGTTGGGAGTGCAGTCTGCGACGGGACACTTTGTCACGCGGCCTCGTCATCTCGTAATATTCCTCACCCGGCTTCCCAGTGCCCAACTCACACACACAACGCCTCCACTACGTCAGCGTGTTTTGGGGTGGGGGGGGGGGGCACGCTCCGCATACGGAAGCGGCTCCGCTGAGCGTTGCAAAGGCGGGCGCTGAGAATTTTTCGCAAGGCCGCCCAGGTCGTGCCGAGCGTTTTGCATTACCCCCAACGCGGCACGCGCGCTCGAGGCTGGCGTCGGGTGAGCTTCAGGACCTTTCGCAAAGCTTAGGGGTGGAGTTACTGGACTACGCGCCGCGACCAAATCAACTCCCGAGATAGAAAATAAAGCAAAGGAAAACAAAGTGTCCCTCCATTCGCGCACGGGGAGAGCTGCTACGTGAAACGTCTGGGGTGGGAGTTGGACTGTGTGCTTTTGTGATTATAGTATTAAAATAAATGTATACATGTAGATACAAAATTATTTGCAAGGTTACGCAGGGTTCAATGTTAAAGTCACGACCTGGAACTAACGGAGCCAAGTCTTCCTGTATTGCAGAGATCCTTATCGCACACTGTGCTCACACACTCCGGTGACCCGTGTTAAGAGTTTGACCTCAGTACCCAGCAAGGGCCCCCTCCAGGTTAGCTCAGCCTCAAATGAGCACCTGGAACCACAGATGCTGCGGGGGAGAAAGCAACAAACGCTGCCGGGGTGTGTGGTGGTGTCGATCACCAAAGTGGAAGTGCTTCCTCCCTATCGCACGCTGGTCGCACAACTCCGCACTTGTTTAAAAGGTTCTTATTTTTGTGCTATATATATAAACGAAACCGTGTTCTAATTACTCAATGTGTGGATTGTTTATATGGAAGCACTTTTTCCTTTTGGGGAATTTTAACACTGGACCAACGCTTAATTGGGAGTGGTAACAGCGGCAGTGTGCGGTAACTCTTCCTTGACAAAGGTATCGAGGAATATATATTTTTTAACGTCTGCAAAACGTTGCACAGGAATTCAATCAAGGCACCCTCCGTGTACTCGCGTGGTGCTTGTGATGTAAATAATGTAATAACACAAAAAACGTGAACTATTTACCCTGAGCCACTTGTAAAACTCCACTCCAAGCCACCCCGTGTCAAAGTCAGGAAAAATCGATTTTCTAAACAAGCAGCAACTCGATGAACTGTGTTCTCGTCAGCAAAGGGGGATTCTGATCACATTCGTTACGTGAAAGGCAGTTTTTTTTTCTTGAACGCAATGTGAAGCTTCGTCATTTTGGCCGCACATTTAATTAGCACACGCTGGCGTACTCTTGCAAATGCCGTCACAGCTTCTTATGAGGAGCAGACCACACAATTTGTCAATTACATGCACCAATTAGCTCTGTGCACCGTTGGCTTACTGGCCACAACACGCGGACCACTCGGCTACCCAGAATCCGTATAATTATCTGCATGACACGGGCAGCTAATCATCAGAGGGGCAAGAAAACAGAGCCCGGCCGGCAATGTATTGCCCTCGGGACCTTGGCAGCAAGAACCTTCTTGTTTCTCAGCATCTCATTCTGTATTCTGGACGGATAAATTAATTGAAATGAACCCCTCGCATCACCCGCCGAGGAATGTGTTAATCGGTAAATCCGGTGCAGCGATCTGAGCCACATCAACACGGCCACTGGCGAAACCCGGACTCTACGACTGTCTCGCCGCCACGCCAAGTTTTTTCACCGTAACCCCCCCGCCCCCCTCACCGCACCAAACGAGCGCACGCACGGAGGCGTTAATTGCCGAAGGATACGCGCGGAGCGTACACGCTCGAGGCGCTCATCCGGTGCAGCCGCAGCAGCAGCAGCGGCGGGGACCAATGGGCGCCGCTCAACCTGTGCAGCGTTGCAACCAGGTCACGTACGCGCGCAGGCGTACGTTAAGACGGCTGCGTGAGCTACTCCCCCCGCCACCCGGCCCCAGCCCCCCCACCGCCCCCTCTCTTGCAAACAACAGTGTAATAGGCTACCGTCGAGGTTAAAATATAAATTGTTGTTAATGAAATCTTCAAATGCCCCAATGAAGAAAGGGAGTTGCGGTACTGTCAATTCCGTGCACTCTTGCACCCACAACCTCGCCTGGCCTAACGTCAACGGGCCGGTGTTGTGTGTTTAAAATCAGATGCACATTTATCGTCTCAGTTGTTGTTATTAGGGGGAGGCGCTGGCGCAGTGGTTAAACTGGGCACCGTGCGACGATGGTAGCGACTTGAGTTTCATTTCCCGGTCACGGCTAACATCAGTGGCGAGTGGCATCTCAACTGCTCCTTCACCAACTTGCCACGGTCTAACATTGTGAAGTATGGTAAAAAAAAAATCACAATTCAATTGGCGTGCGGAGGCCTACAGCAATCAGTGGATTGACGAAGAGCTGTACATTATTAATTTTATAGTACGCCTGGGAATAAAACCTGGCACGAATGCTGCATTAAGTGCACTATCGATTAAAATAATTTAGTTATTCTAATGCACTATTTTAGAGGGTTTTTTTTCCCCTACGTAAAAAAAGAAACCACTGTGTAAGCGTACACGATCCTAGCACCCCCCTGGGCCCACCTACCCTTCCCCCCCCCCCGCTAACTCTGTCTGATTACTCCTTCGATAGCTGCCACAAGACATGTGCACCAAGCACTACCTTCACCACATGCCACATAGCTGCCAAATGCACCTTCAAATTGGCAGAAGGTACTGACCCCTAAGCCCGGCCCTCATCTACACCCAGTTTTGCGCGATGTCCTGGGCTTCGAGCGTTACTTCACCAGTGAACACAAACAGTAGTAAATGAAGGGACGCGTGTCAGTAGTGGCCCCATAGCGTGCGCTATGGGGCCACGGTGATGGCCGACGCGTCACCCTCCACTCAGTGTGCAGGGAAAAAGCGCACAGCTGTTCGACAAACAATTCCGAGTACAGTATTCGTCAAATTTAAGCGATACAGAAACACGTTCACGGTTTCCTGATTTTAAATTGGCTACTCTCTGCTTTTGCAGATTTCTACTGAATCATTGCTTCTACTTCTGGTAGGTTATGTTGAAATAAACTAGAACACTTGACGATGAATGGTAAGGTAATTTTTTTTGTTTAATTTTATATTCCATTTTTTTTAGCTTTTTCTTTTCAATCATGAATAACAAAATATATACGTGGAATAGTCCTTTCTCTCCTTTTCTGAACGCACATTTTCTTTTTACTCGTGTTCATTTCACATTGACGTAATCTGTAAAATGTACAAAATGTTCCTAGAGTCGGGAGTGATGGGGCTGGCCATTTGTGACCTCTTCCATTCGCAAATTCCCTCAGTCCGCTCGGTCGACCGCTCGCTTGCAACACCCGCTACCAAAGCGCACAGCACAGCTGTGCAAGACCTTCAGCTCGGTGTCACGTGGCACTTTTAAAACGACTTAACTCCACCCGTTTAAAATCACCCGCTCTCTTACGCGCCACGCCAGCACACGGGCCACCCGTGGTGGCAACGAGTCCCTCTCGCGAAAGGCCGCGCACCCAGGCACGAACGGGCGCAGCTATTAAAATGCATGACGTTTAAATGTACAAGGATGAACACCTTGCGGACGCAGCCCCTTACACGATGATTTAATACTCAAACTGGTGCGAAGGCCCGGCCGCCTGGCTTGCCACTGTCAGGGAAGCAACGTTGGAGAAAGGCTTGGGCGGCACATCAGGCTTGGCGACCCTGGCCACGTGCCCCCTCCTACCGTGGGTACCCCTCGGCAGAGAATGGTATCCTCCGTTCGGCGTCGTGGCCATGTGCAGGCCAGTACCGATGAGCGATGCTGATGGGGAAGAGGCCGATGAGGGAGAAGCCAAATGAGGCTGCTGTTGCTGCTGCTGCTGCTGTTGCTGATAGGTGGCGGCGCGCATCGATTCGGCGCGCGTTACCGGGCGCACGCGGCACGACTCGGCGCGGCACACCGGGTGCTGCCGCGCGTTGGCGTACGCCAGCGCCGTCTCCAGGGCGGCATCCGTCCGTGACCGTATCGAGTCAGTTCTCGCTGGCGCTGGCGGCGGCCGGCCGACCGCCAGCCGAGGACTGCAGCAAGACGTCGCCGGCACAATCATCGTGCAAGACGGCACGCCTAAGCCACCGCCGCCCCCGTTCCCACCGCTGTAGTTGCTGGAGCCCTGCTGCTGCTGCTGCTGCTGCTGCCGGTGGTGGCTGTGGTTGTGGTTGTGGCTGCGGCTCAGTGACCCCGAGCTGCTCCCAGAGCGCGTCGTGCTGGGCCGGCGCTCGAGCATCGGGCCTCCAGAGGAGGGCACGTCGACGCGCCGGCTCGGCGTGTGCTGCGAGGGCGTGCGCTTGAGCGACACGTCCCTGTGAGGCACCCGCGGCGGGGTCTCGTGCGAGGAGTCCGGCGACTCGACGCCACCGCCGCCGTCCAACCCGGCCACCTCCCCCCCTCTGCTCTCCGCCCGCTCGCCGCCCGCGGCCACGTCCAGGACGTCCTGGGGCCTCTTTGCGTGCGGCGAGAAGGAGCCTCCCCCCGCCGGCGGCGGCCGGGGCAACGCCCATCCCGGGGAGCCGTGGCCCCCCACCACCGCGCCCTGGGGAGACTCGACCGTGGGGAAGATTGCGCCGAGGCGGACGCCGCGCTCCGAGTCGCTGTCGCACACGTCGCCGTACAGGAAGCTGCGCCCGCGCTCCGTGGGCAGGATGAGGGCGCGCGGCACCCGCTGCGGGCAGCGCTGCAGCGAGTGGCGGTTGGAGCCGCGGCCCGACGAGTCGCTGGAGCCCGAGTGGCCGTCCCTCTCCTGGACAACGACGACGCCGTAGCCCTGCGCGGCCGCGTCGTACTCGTTATTGTTGCTGCCCACGGCGGCGCTCTTCAGCTGCAGCACGGGCGTCGACTCGGGCGTCGGCAGCCCCGGCAGCTCCGGGTGCGGCGCCGGCGGCGGCGGCGGCGACGTCAACGCCTCGGGGGGCTTGCGCACCCCGTTGGGCACGCGCGCCTGCTTGTCGTGTCCCGGCACCGCCAGCAGGGCCGTGCCGACGGGCGCAATCAGGTGCTGGCGATGCTGCTGCTGCTGCTGCTGCAGCAGCAGCAGCTCGGACTTGGGCTTCTTGCGCTGGGCGGCGCCGTCCTTGTCCTCGCAGGCGGCGCCCACGAGGACGCCGTTTTTCTTGTGCGGCGGCGCCGGCACGCCCCGCGCGGCGGGGTGGAGGTCGCGGGGCTGCGGCGCTCCGTACAGCCGCCCCGGCGGGCTGTCCGAGGGCGCCTTGGAGTGGCGCTCGCGGCGCCGGCGGCCCACGTAGCAGTAGGTGACGAGCACGGCGAGGACGGCGCCTAACACGAACGCCGACACCACGCAGATGGCGAGCAGCGCCGCTGGCACCAGCGAGCTGCTCTCCGCCACTCGGGTCTCGCGCACGACACCTACGTCGTCGTCGGTGGGGGGGGGGGGGGGGTGAGGAAGGTGGGCGGTGGGAGGGCAGACGGCGGAACGGGGGACGAGAGGGGCCGGGGTCCGACGAGAAAGTGGGGGGCAAGCGACGGCGGAAGGTTGGCAGGGCAGCGAGGAGGTCGACAGCAGCGGCAGAAGCGTGTGGGCAGGCGGAAGCGAGGAGAGGAGAAACGAGGAAGCAAGGACATGCGGGTCATGTGGTGGCGGGCGTGGGAGAGTGAGAACGAGGGTGATGGGGGGGTGTGAGATGTTGGTAGCCAAAGGCATTTACGTAACGAAAAACAAAAGTGGGGAGGAGAAGCGAGGGGGATAAAAAAAAAACAGATAAAAACAAAAGTTACAAATCAAAAACTAAAACAATGGAGGTGGGGAGTTGCTGTGAGACGGGGAGAAATTCACGAAAAACGAACATCCACTCTAGAGACATCAAAGGCAAGAGAACACGGCCCACCTGCACATCCACTCGGTGCAGCGAAACCTGCAAATAAACAACCGCAACGGTGCCAATTACATCCCCATGTCTCCAAATGCCTGTGGAGATGAGAACGTAAGGATGTTAATGAGATGGAAGACAAGTATGTCGTGGGTCATACTCGTATAAAATAAATAAACAAATCGACAAAAGAAAACTAACAACAATTAACAACAACTTCCCATGAGCTTTGGCGTGCCAGTATGCGTGCGCAGGCACGCAAGGACACGCACACAACTAAGAACATAAACAATGCGACGCCAAGGGCGTTCAGCGCTGTGCGGTCTTGTCGCTGTCGTCGTCCCGTGATGAGCGGAGGGTAGTAAGCAAAAGCGCTCATTCAGCTTCCATACACACACACGCGCACACGTGTACAGCAATGCAAACTCTTGGTCTCGCAGCGTCACTCTGTGAACAGAAGGCAGCAGCTATGAAAACGAAAACAGGGTACAAGGAATGCATAAGCGCGTACAAAAAAAACACTTGTGCTCGCTCGCACGCACACACGCACGCACACACGCACGCACGCAACACAACACACTGTGCCTCGCCTGACATGCAAAGCAGGTGCGCGCGCACGCATACAAAGACGAGCACGCACGCACACAAACACATGCACGTGTATGCACAAACAAAAACGGATTACGGCACCGCCGAGATGAGGAATGGGGAGTGCTGGCAAGGTTCCCAGGACGACAGGCACAGGGGGCTGCACCGGGCCGTTCCTCTCCAGCAAGCTGCTACTAACGAGTCCCCGTGGTGAGCGGGACCGTGCAATGACACACGTGCGCGCGCGCGTGCGTGTACGCACGCACGCACGCAAACGTGGTTTGATTGGTGGGGGCAGGGAGGGAGGGAGCGGCGGGTGGCGCGGTCCACGGTCACCCACAGGCGGACGGGCGAGGGAGCGAGTAAGTAAGTGCGTTTCCTGTCTGCTCCTGCTTTGTGAAGAGAGTAGAGCGACGCGCGTTCAGAGTTGAAGCCAGGGAACAGCTGGTTGACTGCATTGTTTAGACTTGACTTAATTTGCGCTTTTGACAGCTTACACAGAATTAGTTTTTTTTCTCTTTCTTTTTTCCTTCAGGTAACATCCAGGTAGCAGCCAATTTTATTTAAATAAAATCAATAAAATACACAACAAAGCTGAAATGTGAAATCAATACGGAAATGAGGCAAAGATGCGAATGCAACAAAAACACACAGACATCAAAAAACGCATATCTCAACATATGCAAATGCAAAAGAGGGAGTTGAATTAAATTAAAATCAAGTTGCAATAACTCATGAACAGAAAGAAAGGGATGACATCTCAGGGGTACCCGATGCATTAGTGCTAATGGTGCTTGGTGTTACAGCCAAAACAAAATCCAATTAATTTTACGAAGCGCCACATACACAACACCGGCAAGCAGCGGCGAATGGGAGGAGCTGCTAATTCACCAGGAGTGCGGCGCACACGTAAGATTTGGCTTAACAAGAGGTATTGTAAGATCTTTTTTTTAAAATATATATTCTTGGTTCTTTCGTTAAAGTCCCGTGACTTTACCGAAAGAAACAAGAATATGAATTTCTGCAGTCACGAAAGTTTTACGTCAAAATCTTATTTTTTTTACTCTTAGTTAAGTTCGCACGTTTGCACTTGCAAGTCCGATTAAAATACGGCACAGCTGCGCATTAAATTGCCAGGTAAAGTTGTAGCTGGAAAGAGTGCGACAGATTCTCCTCCGAGATCAAGTTGTAAAATGAAAGTGGCTCTCACACAAGGGTACCCCCCCCCTTTTGCAACAAATGATAACATCATTAAAACAAAGCAAATAAAAAATGCAAATTTTCAAGTAAAATATAATCAGGCCTTTTGAAAACTGGAGAGGAGCAAGAGGGAATATTATATTTCGTGACACTTGAATTATATTAATATGCATAGACGCAAATTAATTAAGAAGTTTAATTAAAATACGTTTAATGCATATTACTAATATAATTGGTTTTGTGGGAACATAGATGGTAGTCAAAGAAGTCAGCATATGTAAGATTTTTAATACAAGATTCACCTTTGGAGAAAAATGAGTTCTGTATCCTGAGCGGTTTCATTTTTTTTGTTCATGTCGACAAGGGATTTGAGGGTGTTTGTTGTAAGCTCTCGCAGTTGTACCTGACAACGCAGTGACCGCATTTCATTCCATCGTGCGGAGGAATAGCCTGGTGTTCGAAAATTAAATTACTGGTCTCTGAACTCGGGTAAACATAAATATGTGAAATTTCTCCCAGCAGTCCTGACATAGCTAGAAGGCACAGTGATGTACGGAGGGGGGGGGGGGGCAGCCGTCACGTGACTGTCCGAAGACATTTTCGGCAAAATCTAAATACGGGAGACGTCCTAAGTTAATGAGCCGACTTACATAAATCAAGCCAATTGTGGCAGGTGATAATTTACAACTAATCCTTGTGGAAAGATCGGCAGAGAAATTAACACTTTCAACGATAACGTTTAATCACTGTAGCAGCCTTTGTTAAGAGTCATGCACTGAGCGAGGCAAACATGAGTAACCCAAAATAGCCTCTTCACTCCTGATGAACAACGCTGTTGTCTGAGCAAAAGCTGGTGCAGACTTCGCGGTAAGGGAGGCTCAATGAATTAAATTGCCAGCAATTGATTCACACAGCAGAAAAAAGTTACTCACTGATGCCAATTTAACCGGCTTGCGGATAATCTCTAAGCGTACGAAACACGTCAACTGGTTTTATTTTATAAAGATCTATCTTGCTCTTGTTGCGCATATGTATAAAAAAAAATCTCCAAAGTGACAAGTACAAAAAAAAGCGAACAAAATTGAATCAAGAGACTTTTGTGGATTCTTTCTTTCTCCCTTAACCAATTTACAGCATCCCCAATTATCACGGGTGCTCCATCCCCTAGACATTCCACACCTTGGTTACAGAATCTCAGGTTTTCTCCAAAATTAATCGGCGTTGATTGGGCCTGAAAGGTGATGAGAGACAACACGCGTCTCTCAGTGACTTCTGGGTTCATTACAATTAGCTGATATTGAAAGTGGCTCTCCAGCCTCAAAGTTGACCTGGCTGCTCGCCTGAAGGCTGCCTTACCATCGGGGGGAAGCGCGCCCGTGGGCAGCGCCTCCGCAAGGTCATCGGCGTCGAGCCGGCGCCGGTCAGGGGACCAGGACCGACCGAGTGCCACCCGGCCCACATGCGGGGGCCTAAGGGGGGCCTCCGTTCCGACGGTGTCAGCGGCGGCAGCGCCATGGGCCACCTCTGTCACTGTCGGTACAACGGGAACATCGCCCCCTCCTTGAGAGTTACGCCCGCGCTGCCGTTCTGCCGTGCGTGCACGTGTGCCCCCCTTTCACGGGGAAGGGACTCCCCCGAGCGAAAGCGCTCGTCACTGGGGTGCTCGTGTGCGGATTTGTGCGCGCGCCCTCACACCTTGCGTATGCTCACGGGGAACTTTGAGCGAAACTGCAGACAAATTACGGAAGGTTGGCATACTACAAAACTTGCTGAACGAGGACGCATCGAGGGACAAATTAGGATGTAGCAAAGGATGTGTTTTTTTGCAAAAAATACGTATTGATTTCTTAATTCTACAAGTAAGTAAATGTTTTTTTAAAAGAAGAAATGCAAATGATTGAAAACAGGTTGCCATGTCATGGATATTTATACTCCAGAAAGAGTTGTAGGAATGAGCACAACTGCATACTGATGACGCATTTACACAATTTTTACGAATAAAGACACGCAACAGTTCTGCACCCTCACTGTACGTCTTGATAAAATACAAGATGCATGGACACAAGGGCCGCTAGGAAAATGCAAAGAGACAGAAAACCAACCAAAGGTACACAGACGCTGATAGATGGATGTCAGGATAAATGCGCGAATGAATGAGCTGGCTTCAAAGAACAAAGCAAATCGATGCTGTTTGCCCACAGACCTGTGTCCATATTCAAAACGCCAAAGACAGCCCTTAGTACAGCTAAGGGAAAAACATACTTCCATTGTATTCCGCAAGCCCATTCTGTGAGCTACTTAAGAGTCTGAACCAATTCTCTCTCTCGACTTGGCTGTTACCATTCTCACACGCTTTGCGTGGTCTCCGTGGAATTTGTGACGTGATGGCTACACAGCGGACTGCATCGCTGAAGATCACTGGGCCTCGGATGCAACGGGTCGGGGGAGGGGGCGGAAAAACGCTCCTCGCGTGTTTCCTGCACAGTTTTAAAGTTTAATTTCAAAACGGCGCCAAAAGATTTCGAGATGAAAACTGCTGAAGTGTCCCAGTGACACGCGATGGCAAGCCCACTGGCCACTGTACATTGCTAAGTTGGCTTCATTCACTGAATGAAATACATTTTACAGAAGGGACAGCTGTTGAAACTGAAAACTCTCTTTCGCGTGGGGCTTTGTGCTCTCCCAGGCCGCTTGGGATGATGGCGGGTAACCTCGGCAATGACTTGACGTCAAAATAGATTTGTTGCAGAAACCCGCTGACCAAACACAAAAAAATATCTAATATTAAAGAATAAACTGCCTTTAAACGATCCAAAACCATATTTTATCCACTTAAAATAAGCAATGGAGTGCTTCAATGCAACAGTACGTAAGCAGGTAAGGCAGTCCCCACCCCCCCCCCCCCCCCCCGTTGTTGCTCATGCACGGGGTCCGGTTCGAGACCACTGCTGTCAGCGCAAGGAAAGATGGGAGGTAACATCCGTCCCGTCACCCGTCAAGCCGTGTCACGCGAGCCGTTTGGAAGGTAGCCAAGTACACGGTCATACTCTTCACACTATCCCATTCATACCCTCTGCCCCCAGACAACTAATCCCATTACTAGCGCCACTTGTCTGCCAGCCAAAATGCGGTCGTGTGGTAGAGGGGCACGGTGGGGAAGAAGCCCAGGCAGCACGGAGTATAAACGCTCCTTGATCTTGGAAGGTGGGTGGGAGGTGGGTGGGTGTTGGAAGACCATCTTCACTGGGCAGGTTGCGGTGTAAGAACATCGTCTGCTCGGAGGGTGTGAAATCCAGCGCAACGCAATAGATTCTCACGGCAATATCCGAAAACGCCTCGGGTGGTCTTTGGTTTTAGCGGCACTGCCGGATGAGTTGTTAGCGGCTGTGCGGGAAGCACAGATGCTCCGTGTGCTCACAAAAAAAAAACGAGGACATCAAGTTCCTCGGGCACTCTAGCAAAGCTTCAGGGTTGTAATTTATAATTTCCCTTTGCCGCTTTTGATGTTGTTGTTGAGACTCATTGTGGATGAGTCAGGCTCAAAACAAACCTGTCAAACCACTTTCTGAAACTGCAGGGGTTTCAGACTAACTTAATTAATATCTTTGAAATTGGGTAAAGGATTAGGCCGAATACACCTGTAGTAAAATACAAGTAACGACTAAATGATGTACTATGGACCACAACAATAATGGGTTCATTTTTCAGCAAAACACACCTTCAGAGCATTTTTGTTGCTTAAAAATAGATCAAGAGTAGACCTGTCGGTGAAATAATAACTATTTAATGTTTTAGTTTTTTTCGCGTGGGTATGAAAATGAATAGCAACGATGTGTCAGTTTCCAGCCCCTCTGTAAGCAGAAGAAAAGCCCGATAACGCGATTTGCATGGAGAGGAAAGAATTAGGGAACAAAACGGAAAAACAGAAGAAAGACGAAGCTGCTGCTGACAAATGGAACAGGGGCGTTAGGAAAACACTGCGGAAGAAGCTTTTGTAAATGCTTTGGAAGTGACAACAGTGGTTTGGGGAGGACACAATGCAGCAAGGGTCAATATGCAACACCGGGGAGCACACACACACACATTTGTAGAAGTACACACAAGAGCTCACGCACGTACACATGCACAGGGCACAAACACACGTTCGTGCAAACACACACACGGCACGCAAAAACACATACATTTGCAAAAACACGCGCGCGCAAACACACACACGTGTGCATGAACAGCCTGTCCCTTTCCAGTGCGGACACGAACAAACGTATGCACCCCCCCTCCCCCGTCGCTTGCCCGTGCGCGTACCGCTGCGCACGCACACAGATGCACCTCAACACGGGGAAATGACATTTTCACACGCTGGCTCACACTCTCTGCACTCTGAATAGACGGGGGGCAGTTTCACACACAGTGCTTTTCCAGGCCCCATGCTGCGGGGCAAGCACAAAAGGAGCCAAAAACTCTGTCAATGCCCCGGCTGCCCCTCCCCTCAAATCCACCTCGCACTCCCACACGCCCAAGCAATATCTACTCCCACCCCCAGCATGTCCATCTTCAGATCAATAACAGATATCTCTTGCTATCCACCTACTCCAAACAAAACCCTAACTCCTCCTCGCCCTTGCATTGCCAGCCAAAGTGATTGGTGCACAAGCAGTTAATTGGCGTTAAGTTTTGGTGCCACCAAATGTCCGTTCTTTCTGTGTGAAACAAAGTATGAACACCTCTAGGGCTAGACGAGCAGAATCACACTTTGCTCTTTCCCTTCAGGCAGTCGAAAAGGGCAGCATTTTCTGCGTGAGCACGCAAATTGTGAGCAACTCCAGAGCAGATAGGTGGTGTGTACAAACACAACTTTGATAAGCCTTGAAGGCTTGGAAGTGTACAGCATGAGGCACCGGCTTGGTCATGCTGCAGTAGCTGCAAGCTCACACTTTGCCAGTTAGTTGCAGCATGCGGTTAAATTGAGCTCCACACAAAGGCAAACATCTCATCGCAGATTTGCTTCATTGTGCCACAAAACTAAAATAAAGTGGCTTATTTGTTGCAGTGATTCTTTGTGACGTCCCATCAGCAAAAGGTGCCCCTAAGTAGGCACGCCATGCCTCAACGTGCAAACTATGAGCATGCAAATCGTTTGTGAACAATACTCACGTGGTTCAGGATCGGGTTCTACAGGCTTATCCTTTCTCCCCCCTCCCCCTAAAAAAGCCACCCTCCATCAAGGGATCCCCCCCCCACACACAGATATCGTGGGCGGCTGCTAAAGCTCGAGTTCTCCGCCCCAGCAATGACCAGACTCAGCGCCCGTCCCTCCCACATGAGCTCAGCTAGTCAATGGACAGGTCAAGGGGTCAAGCCGTGCAAAAAGGTTTTGAGGCCAGACAATGGGCCATCAATTCCACCATCGTTATGGCAACCGAGGTCAAAGGTGACCCAGCAAGATTGATTAGACCCAGTTGCGGGCAAGCCTTTAGGTGTGCTATAGTACTGCACTGCTTTAAAATCAGCTTAGTGCTTTATCGCCTTACTTACATAAGTCTCTTATATTGTTATTGTAACTCATAATAAAACTGGAATGATTTTTTTGCCATAAAACAATTCCTAGACCTCTTTAACCGCTTAAGGCCTCCGGTTACACGGCTCAGGTTATTTATTATTTTAAAGGCTCTGCAGAAAAGCGACTGTCATTATGGACCAATAGGCAGACAGCTGCTTCTGAATACTCCACTTACGGCGGTTCCAAAGTTGCCCATTGCCAGCATTGTGCAGATGAGCAGGCGAATTCAAGGGCAATGTTGCCTCTGGCAAAAAAAAACACAGCTTTGACGGCAGATTGAATTTAATGCCAAATGCCACCTGAGCTTTAGACAACACAGCATTGGGCAACCTTGGGCAGCTACCGATGCCTGCAACTCAAAACCAGCTCGAGCGCCACTCGCTCTTCACCCCACACCTTTGTGCTCCCACACCTTCATGGTCGACTCTTCCTCCGCGTTGCCCTCTGCTGCCCTCCTCCCTCTATCCTTCCACCTCTCAACACCACGTAGACCCACCCTAAAGGTCTTCAACCTCTTTCAAATTTGTGCGTACCCTCAACCTCCCCCATCCAAAACCCATCCTCTCCCAAACGGCTGCAGCCTAAGACTATAAATGCGTCGAGGTACAAGGCTGCAGCCGATCGACCAAGCCTGGTCTCCCAAGTGCGACGCTTTATGGTAAAATTATGCTCATGCTCCCAGGAGGGAAAATTATTTTGAAATACATTAAGTCGGGTGTAATGGCAGACTAGCAGCACTCACTCGTGACCTCGTTTGCTGGCACCCTCTGCAGAGTAAGGAGTTTTCCCATGACAAATGTGGCTTTTTATATAATTTAAAAAATCCACAAAAAATTGTGGGCACTTTGGTTCTCTTCCCCCCCCAATTGACTGTCGAAATAAAGCCATATTGTCATCCTTGCACGAGACACACCGTGTGAAACACCACGTGGGAGAACGGTAAAACCCAAGTGTTTACTGCCAATGGGTTTCACCTCTCATGCCTTCCAATAACACAAAACCATCTGGTGTGTTGTGTGGAGGTGGGGAGTGCAAGGGCGAGCAGGGAGGCAGGTTGTATTTTCTTTGGAAACTAATTCTATGCATAACAAAAGGAACTATGACAAATTTTACTTCCACTGACGTGTCGTTACAGGTAAGTGTAGCAATATAACCTTGGTATATATTTTAAGAGTTGTCCAATTTATGCTGAATACAAATTTGTTTCCCCAGCCAGATAAGCTTACAAACTGGGTCACTGTAAAGCCAAAGCTAAACGTTTTGTATCATTCTCTAACCAAAATCTCCCCATCCGAAAAATAAACCACACCAATTTAACAATTATTCACAATGTTCTAAGAGATGGAATTGCTTGGCTGCAACACAATTAGTGTATTTTCTGCTTTCAATTTATTTAAAAATCATCCCATTATCCCTTTCAAATTTTCTTGCTGTGATTTTCACACCTGATGATGATTGCTTGTGTTGCAGTCGAAACGTCGTGATAATTTTATTGTTTTATATTTTTATTTTATTGTTTCCCTTCTACGTGACTTTACCGAAAGAACCAAGAATATGAATCCCTGTAGTCACGAAAGCTTTAAATAAAAATTTATATTATGTCAAGCAGGACATTCTAGTGGACAGTGTGGCTCTGTCCATGTTCGGAGATCGTTGCTTTAAAAAAATCAATACTCTCTCCCATGATAATGAGCTGCTGGAACATAATCAAATACACATTACGTCTGCTAATTCGTGCAGACATAAAGAGCCCATGGCAATTGCAACAGTAAGCCATTGTGTGCTTGTGTCACAGCCCAACTTGAAGAATTATCCACAATTACTGAACTGCCCTTCCGTCAATGCTTTCGAGGGCTCTGTCACCCCCGTGTGTTGAGCTACCGAACAGACGAGCCTTGCGAAAAGACACGACGTTGATGATGACAACTACAACAATAACAAAGGCGATGAACATGGCACATTAATTACGGACACCTTTCCCACTACTTCACAATTAACGTGGCATTTGAAGGCATAATTTAACTGTGTACAGACCACATCACACACAGTAAATGCCTCCCCTTTCTGCTGTGGCCTCTCGTCTCTCGCTCTCTCTCTGGCCCCATAGAAATCACCATTTAACACGGGCATCGATACAACGTTCGCCTGAAAACCGCCCCCAGTGCTCGACAAACTGCATTCTGCCTTGAACCTTGCAGCGAGCATAATCCTGCTCGCAAGGGTGCCCTTCCCGTGGGTGTCTGCCTCGTGTTTTGTCGGCGTGCGTGGAGCGAGGTCTAACTCGTGGCTCCGGAGCGAGAGCAAGGACGTGCGCTCACAGCAATGAATGTGAGCAATGGCAGGCCATCAATTCCTAGAGAAAGAAGGGGACCAAGTGTATGGGTATCTAATGTAGTATGTAAACCAAATGGTACCACAAACCACCACCAGTCCTGACTCATACAAAGGCAGGGCACAGTTGCATGTCATATTGTGTTGAACCGAATGAAAATAAGGCCATGTCTTATTTGTCGGCGTTATAGAGATTGGATGGTATGACGGAAATTATTCAGTTTTTTTATTGTAAAGCCTGAAGTTGCAAAACTTTACATTTCAAAACTGAATTTTCCATTCAAATTGAAACTCTTTGACTGTGGTTCTAATTAACAAGGTTTACACCTTATATAATTAAACACTCAAATCAGAAACTATCAAAATATGTGCGTGTCCTCTTGTCCTTTTATTTGACTGGTGTAAAAAGCCACAGGTTATTTAGCACCTTGGACCACAATCCAGAGCTCGTTGTGTTCAGTCCCAGGGTGAGTGGCAGCAGGTTGCCAAAGGGGGTGTCCCGTTGAACAATGAAATTCCAGCTTGCCCATGCACCACTTTCGTTTTGGTAAAAATTCGGATGAGTTCTCTACTTTGAAGTTCCTTTCCCATGATGAGTTTTCGACCAGGAAATCACTCACCAGCCCAAGCAAGATGCTAAATAAAGAGTGCCAGATGACAAATCAATTCAGCCACACCGAGTCCAAATCCTACCAGAGTTATACATTGTGCACGAGCAAAATTATTGTCCCTTTCATTTTCATTTTCATCTCAAAAAGTGCAAAAACTTTGTGAAAACGCTTTGGTAAGGTGCTCGCTAATAAAGGTGGTGGGCTGCCAAAATGCACATCTGAACACTCTGTGACATTCTTTCAAAGGAAATGTATTCCAATTTCAACTGGTAAGTACCAGTGCCCCAAATCATAGCACTTAAGGGGAAGCGAAACAGAAGGCAAGAACATAAAAAAAAATATTATTACAAAGCGAAGAGGAATTATGTGACAATATTAAGGAAAATTGTGAAATAAAAACACACGGGCTTAGCCTTACGTGTGTTTCCATGTGCATACAAACACGCACAGATGCATACACACCCGTGTGTGTGTGTGTACACCTTACGTATTATGGATTCTCTCAAAGGCTATTAGGATTAAGCATTTTGGCTACAGTTGTATTCTCAGGGCCAAATACATTAGAGGTAAACGGGACCGTCTGTCAAAAGGGTCCAGAAAACCCACTTCAGGTGAATCTTTAATGAGGAATAGTTTTTGGTGCAGGCACACACGGTGTTACCATAATGGCCGCAAACAAAAATGTACCAGCTTTACACAGCAGCAATCGACACGACACAGCAAGCTTAAGAATTTTCTAGCCTCTAGCAGACAGAGATAACATGCAAATAAATGCAACATTAACACAAACTACGGCGTTTATTGTAATTGTTTTGGTTATCGGCTTGTTTCTGGATGCAGTAAACGTAGATGATTTCAGCTATTTGCGTGCTCTTTTTTTCCCCGCTTGCAGTCACCGCTTGATTAATTTAGAGTTTCCTTCAGGAAATGAGCATGCTGGGATGGGAATACTTCCTCCTCTTCTCACACACACACACTCCTTGCCCCATTTATGTGATTGTGCGCACACACACACACAGACACTGCTTTGGCAATGGCAGTCAGGCATTTATTTGGGCAGAATTGAAGTCCTGCCAAAAAAGTGTGGTAGTCTGCGGAGCGGTGAAAAAATATGACAGATTTCAATTTAGTTGGACGTGAACAAGTTATTGTCATTTCAAAATGCTGTGTGCTTGTAAAATTAACTACATTCTATGAAATGGCATTAGCGCTCCCACACATTTTCCAAGGCCTCGTTAATGTGTGCGTTGGTGCACGTGTGCGTAATCCAGATTGTGGCGAGGGGGCTGAGTGGTGAGGGGGCAGTGGGGGTTTAGCGTGTGGGTTTGGGTACTCGCCAAGTGGCAATGAATGAAATAAATAAAAAAAATATATGGGAAGTTTTCTGACCTTGGCAATCGGCCATCCCTTTCGTGTCACCAAAGTCCACATCCTGCTCATAGAGATCCCTGCGAGGAAGAAAAACAAAAAAAACGCCACAGTCGCGCCGCCGGAGGCTCATTCACGAGAACAACAGCGGCTGGTTTTTCACGTCTTAAAAATCCCGCCGCTTATTGTGCGGTCCTCCACGGAAAAACGCCGGAGCGTTTGAAAAGGCACCGCAGAGTGCGCCAGCATTCACTCCGGTGGCTTGCAATTAAAACAAGCGGTCCACTTACTCCACACTTGCCTTTCATTACTGCACACACACACAAATTGGCTAATTGTATTACAGGGAGGCTCTTTTTTCCTTAATATTAATTTCTACGAAACGCATTTTTGGTTTGATAATTGCATGTATGAATGGCATCTTAGTGACCGAATTTATCTGTGTGTGGCCAGTGGCGGCACAATGTTTTGCGCAAGGTACTACGAACCCAGCGACCCGAATTTATTCCTGTTCATTGACCACATTGGTGACCGATATCTGAACCGGCCCTGGACCCTCTCCAAGGTCAACTCAGCCTTAAAATGAGTACAGGTTTCCCTTGCGTTCTGCGGGTTCGGTTTGTGCAAATTTTGCGTATATGCGGCGAACCTATTTCCACCCAAAATTCGCTCTATGCGGTTTGAATTCACTCTCCACGTGGCTATGTGGTCAGACGTGGGACAACACTGTGCATGTACTGTGTGCGCTACTCGGTAGGCAGCTGTCCCCTCGTGCGGTTTCTCTTTGTGCACCCTTTTATTGGAATGTGTCTACCGCATAAAGCGAGGGAAGCCTGTACCTAGTGTGGTGGGTAAACCACAATGGGCAGACAAAGGCGTCTGGGCATGGTGCTGTCCACCCAACCCCTCGTGTGCCGTGCTGGCATTCAAAGCAGCTCACAAACAACACTTGCCTCAACAGCCAGTTTTTTTGTATAATGATTTTGTGGATTTTTTTTTCCACCAATAGTCTGTTAAAGGCTACATGGGGGAATCTTTTCACATGGTCTTACCATCTCAGGAACCTGGATTACATTCCCGGCTATCAATAACACCTTTAGCAACTAGCAATAATCTGTCTTAGAGCTCCCATAAGTAATTTAAGCCTTAAAATGAGAACTCTGTATAGTGCGCAAGTATTGGCACGGCGCAAATAAAGGTAGCCGAGTGTGTTTATGAGCACACCATCCTCTTCCATGAGATTCTGGCATTCACAGGAGATCGCTAACGGCACTCGACACAACATTTGGGAAATCTCTGTATGTGTGCGGTTGGGGAGAGGAATTCAATAAAGGCCGAGTTTAGGTTGCAGTGGCCACGGCACTACAACTGAACCAATGATGTGGGTCCAATCCCAAAAGGTAACTGCCTCGGGTGTGTGGCTTTTATAGGTCAACACAACCTAAACTAAGTGCACTGTGAGGTGTATTGACACAAAACGCCGGTAGAAAAACACAAAAGCAGTCGCGTGTTGTTATGTTTCCACAAAACCAAACCCGTGTGGAGCCAGCTGTAATTTGTACTCACTCAAAAGAACTTCCGACAACGACTTGGGCAGTTTAAATAGGAAATTTAGCTAAATGTAACCAGAGATGAGAGCGGGTCTTGGCGGTTGGGTTAGCCGAGGTTTTCCAAAACCAATTACAAACAACGCACCGTAAACGACTCTGGTGGGAACTTCCGTAGACAAACAAGCAGTGCTGACTTAACAAGCTGCCACCCGTAGAACTTGCCATTAGGTTTGCTGACGTCGTGCAAACTGCCGGCGGAGCAAGGCTGACCTCTGACACGCTCTGGCAGTGTGGCCACAACTTTCTCACAGCTCTTTCAGCGCAGGTTTTTTTTGGGTTTTAGCCGCTTTGCAAATGTTGGTGGAGCCGTCCAAGTGGCTGGTACACTGGGTTGTTCACTCGGGTTGGCTGCATCGTCGCGAACGGGTGAGAACGCGCTCACTGGGGAGAAGCAATCGACGTCATGCGAAGAGCTTAAATGGGCCGTGACGTCAATGGCATCGAACTTGCTTGGTCTTACTGGGTATCATCGCACCTGTACACGCAAGTTGGTCTGCATTCGTTTGGCTTGTGTGTTTGACTCAATGTCAAATGATGCTTGCTCCGTGAATTTCTCAGTTCAAGGTCATCTATTTTAGCCACGTACCGTGGCCTCCGATTTGCCCGCAATCAAGCAATGATTAAATTACCAGGATAATTAGTTGAATGTGCTATAGAAGTGAATGTTAAAGAGAAAATGTATTGGATGAAAAACACCCAGGAACTATGACCAGTGAACCTAACAGGCCATCTCTTTTCCCCACCCAAGTCTAAATTAAATTAAAAATGTCATTCAAATCAAATCTTGACTTAAAGCTTTCGTGACTGCAGGAATTCATATTCTTTGGGTCTTTCGGTAAAGTCATGTAATAAGGTTCAAAGAAATAGCAAAAATAACAAAAAACGACGACGTTTCAATCGCAACACAAGCAGTCGTCATCAGGAAAAGGGGGTTGTGGATGGGTGATGACGGCCGCTTGTGTTGCGATTGAAACGTCGTAGTTTTTGGTCATTTCTTTGAACCTTTCTACGTGACTTTACCGAAAGACCCAAAGAATATCATTCAATTCTAGATTTGAAGCTTTCGTGACTGCAAGGATTCATACTCTTTGGTTTTCATTCAAATCAATCAAGGAGCATCAATCAGGGACTTTCAAATAGCTGCCATAGTCACTCAGCTCATGACACAGCCGACATAAAAAGCTCATTGCTGCTTATTATGAAAACACACAAATGCACCGTTGCGTTATCTTTCCTCGCCAGCTAGATTTGTTTTAGCGGGAACGGTCTGTGTACGCTGGATTGCTGCCAGCCAAGGCGCCGTTAATCTGACGTGGGTGAGAGATTTTCGTTATGAACTGTTTCTGCGAAAATTGTAAAGAAAACAGACACAAAAGTGTCCCTGAAAAGCAAAATAGAAATAAAACAAACAAACGAGCACGCACAGGCACATAAATAAATAAATAAATGTCCGCAGAAACGACAAGCAGGCACGCACGTACTGACGGGGACACGGGTAGACAACTGTATGCACACACACGCACAAAGACCAAGATTCCCCCGTATAGCCTTGAGCTGATTGTTGGGGCATGTGCTGTTAAGCGAGTACCTATTAAGGCCAGCACGGCACATGTGAGGGTGGGGGGCCAGCACCACGCATGGCCTTCTTTGTCTCCCCAGTGCTGATGTTTTCCATACCATACTAAGTAATCATTTGAGGCTGAGTCGACCTAGAGGAGGGCCCAGGACCAGTTCAAATATTCACCCCTGTTTTTGGTCATGAGCAGAAATTGAACTCGGGTCGCCGGGTTCGCGGTGCAACGCGCTTATCGCTACACTACTGCTCCCCACACAAAACATGCTCCACATATAGTGAGGGAAAAAAGTATTTGATCCCCTGCTGATTTTGTACGTTTGCCCACTGACAAAGAAATGATCAGTCTATAATGTTAATGGTAGGTTTGTTTGAACAGTGAGGGACAGAATAATAACAAAAATCTAGAAAAACGCATGTCAAAAACGTTATAAATTGATTTGCATTTTAATGAGGGAAATAAGTATTTGACCCCTCTGCAAAACATGACTTAGTACTTGGTAGCAAAACCCTTGTTGGCAATCACAGAGGTCAGACAATTCTTGTAGTTGGTCACCAGGTTTTCACACATCTCAGGAGGGATTTTGTCCCACTCCTCTTTGCAGATCTTCTCCAAGTCATTAAGGTTTCGAGGCTGACGTTTGGCAACTCGAACCTTCAGCTCCCTCCACAGATTTTCTATGGGATTAAGGTCTGGAGACTGGCTAGGCCACTCCAGGACCTTAATGTGCTTCTTCTTGAGCAACTCCTTTGTTGCCTTGGCCGTGTGTTTTGGGTCACTGTCATGCTGGAATACCCATCCACGACCCATTTTCAATGCCCTGGCTGAGGGAAGGAGGTTCTTACCCAAGATTTGACGGTACATGGCCCCGTCCATCGTCCCTTTGATGCGGTGAATTTGTTCTGTCCCCTTAGCAGAAAAACACCCCTAAAGCATGTTTACACCTCCATGTTTGACGGTGGGGATGGTGTTCTTGGGGTCATAGGCAGCATTCCTCCTCCTCCAAACACGGCGAGTTGAGTTGATGCCAAAGAGCTCCATTTTGGTCTCATCTGACTACAACACTTTTACCCAGTTGTCCTCTGAATCATTCAGATGTTCATTGGCAAACTTCAGACGGGCATGTATATGCGCTTTCTTGAGCAGGGGGACCTTGTGGGCGCTGCAGGATTTCAGTCCTTCACGGCATAGTGTGTTACCAATTGTTTTCTTGGTGACTATGTTCCCAGCTGCCTTGAGATCATTGACAAGATCCTCCCGTGCAGTTCTGGGATGATTCCTCACCGTTCTCATGATCATTGCAACTCCACGAGGTGAGATCTTGCATGGAGCCCCAGGCCGAGGGAGACTGACAGTTCATTTGTGTTTCTTCCATTTGCGAATAATCGCACCAACTGTTGTCACCTTCTCACCAAGCTGCTTGGCAATGGTCTTGTAGCCCAGTTCTACAATCTTGTCCCTGACATCCTTGGAGAGCTCTTTGGTCTTGGCCATAGTGGAGAGTTTGCAATCTGATTGATTGATTGCTTCTGTGGACAGGTGTCTTTTATACAGGTAACAAGCTGAGATTAGGAGCACTCCCTTTAAGAGTGTGCTCCTAATCTCAGCTCGTTACCTGTATAAAATACACCTGGGAGCAAGAAATCTTTCTGATTGAGAGGAGGTCAAATACTTATTTGCCTCATTAAAATGCAAATCAATTTATAACATTTTTCTGGATTTTTGTTGTTATTCTGACTCTCACTGTTCAAATAAACCTACCATTAAAAATAGAGACTGATCATTTCGTTGTCAGTGGGCAAACGTACAAAATCAGCAGGGGATCAAATACTTTTTTGCCTCACTGTAAACACACACATATTGCTATCAACTACTCCGTTTGGTTCTTCTGAAAATTAATCTCTGAACTTGGATCCACTCCATTAAACAAAATGTGAAGGGCAAAACATGTATAAGCAGGTAGATAAACAAGATTTGGCTTTTACAGAAGTACAAAACAATATACTTAAGGGAGCCATTAAACGGAGACTACCAGAGTAGATAACGGTGTAAATAGATTTAAAGTATCCCAACTGGCTAGGTAGGAAAAAGCCACAATAAAAACATAGACATGAAGCCACACAAATACCCCTGTATAGCCTTTATGTATTATTGGGGCACACGTCATGAGTGAGTACCTATTCAGGTTTCCAAACTGCAAAAGGAAGCGGTGTAGCCAGCACCACGCCCAGATAAATTTGCATCCCAACAGTGGTGTTAGAAACAAAGACAAAGCTCCCCCGTTTAGCCTTAAAAATACTGTTGGACAAGTGCTGTTAGCGAGCACCTTTGAAGGCCGGCGAGGCATACGAGGGGGTGGGTGGCCAACATCACGCTCTAACATATATATGAACATATACACACAAAAAAATTAACGCATACACACACACTTATACAGGAGAGCACAAAGAGCCAAGGCCTTGCTATATGATTTGTTACCATACATTCCACCTTTCAAAACTGCAGAAGTCTCCCAACAGCGCCAAAACAATGAACTAAAGCGGAAATCAGGGGCACATGGAACAGTGAGACTACGGCACTAAACATGGAATTGTCTGAATGCTATGCACATTTGGTGACGTTCATCTCCACTTGAAGTCTTCAAAAGTTGAAATTCCACATTCCTTTGGTGGGTAACAGTTTCTTCACAGGACGACCACGATTGGCATCCGATAAATTGGTACTTGTTTTATTGACCTCGGAAGGATGATGAGCCAAGTTGCCTCCAGGCCGACATTTTACCTCGTAGTTTCCACTTTGAATTACATTGAGAGAAAGCAAAAAGAAACACGTGGATTGGAGAATATATGCAGGTCAAAGACAATTTAAGCTAATCCAAAACTAAACTATTTTATATTTTACCAGGTACGCCCCACTGAGCTATACAGTTCTTTGTCAGAAGCGACCTGGCCACGAATGACAGCTCAGTGAAGTGGCTTATCCATGAGGAAATTTACAGCAGCCAAATACCCTTCAACGCACGTTTCTAAACTTAAACTAGCAAGTGGGCTTGGGCAGGGCACATCGAGTGAAGGGACGATTGTCAGCGGTAAAGAAAAATGACGGTGTCGCAGCCAAGAAATTAAACGCATCCGAGAGGACATCTACCATGGAGATCAGCTCATGTCCAGGTGTAAGGTGGATTAATACATTGATCATTAGTTTCCACTTCGAGTCACTGCATCTACCCAGCTGGAATAAAACAGAAGAAGCTCTACCCATAGTAGTGAGACCTTCATTAAGCCAGTGGGCAGAGAACGGCTGCTGGTGGTACAGATCATATCCCCATATGCAAGCCGTCTGTTGTATACCAGCTGGCTGGGACAGTTGCTCTCCCTGGATTACTTAGCTGAAGAGCAGCCAAATGCAAGGACACCCAGAAACAATGAAAAAGGCATGTACTTTATTGCTGAGGGCCGGTTGGCAACCGAGTGTCAGGAAGGGTGAACAAACATCACTGTTCATGTGGGAAGCCTGCAGATGGTCGGAAAGGCAAGTGCTAATCAGCGCCGTTGGGAAATCCTCGGAAGCCCTAGCTCGTGTGATTGAGTTATGGAGGTCTGGCAGAATTTCTGACAAATGTCAATAAAATGTGGTCATGAACTAGTGGACCTGAAAAATAAAAATATGAACACTGTTCCCCAGAATAAATACATCGGGTCATATATTTTGCAAGCAGCAACATTGATTAACGCTTTGTGAACAGGAGTTGGGAGGTTCAGCAGATCTCTTTTGGCATCGGTGCAAGTGTATTTAAGAGATCGCCATTCGGTATAGAAGAGAGTGTGTGGGTTGTAAAAGCAGAGGGAGGCCCGTGGACGATGAGAACTTGTCTGCTTTCACACCCACTAATTGCTTGTGCTTTCAAGATAAAAGAAAGAGACGAACAGTAAACAAAAAAAGCACTGTTACTTTCACACCCATCTCACTCCTTTCCATTTTTAATCTGTTTTTATAAGTCTCTACTTTTTGGCAGCAGAAAAATGCAAGACTAAACTCTATGCTGCCAGGTAGTGATGTCAGGCAGCTTAGTACAGCTGTCAGGCTGTACTGTGAAGAAAAAAAAATAACGATACAGATCTACAAAATAGCACAGATTCTCACGTAGCATGCATAACAGTGTCTGCAACTTTATCATTATCGCCAACACAAATTACAATCATGACATCTTCCCTATTATCCTCGAAAAAAATTTGGTTGAAATAAATTGCGGACAAAACAATAATGTCGCGATCGCTTTCGGCTCAAAGTGAAGTTGCGTTTAAAAGGCCAGAGGAAAGTCTTAGGTAACAACGTCTGTTGTGGTGGGAAGCTTTTCTTGCAAGGTCACCCCAAAACAAATTTAATTTTCACAAATCCATCTTAACTGGATCTCCACCACGGTAGCCCGCACGACTCCCTCCATCCTTCTTGGCGGCAGATGCGACCTTGGTGATCCGCCTTTGCGGCACTTTTGGAGACAAACAATCCAACAAAGTCACTCTTTCCGCATCATCACACTAACCCACTGTAAGTTATAAGCCGTGTCCCTACCTCTGATCTATTACTATGCTAACTGTTTGACATATAGTCCTGCCAGTTTAGACTGGGATCATATGAATACCAAGGCTTTTTGAAAAGTACCCACGGTTGTATTGTTCCTGTTTAAGCATTGCCCTGCCTGTGATTGCATTCGTGTGCTAATGGTTTAAATATGTTCCACTCAGTCCATAATGATTTTCTTGTATTCCCAGACATCAGCCATTCAATTGCTTGCAAACGATGCTGCTGTAATACGTGTAGATTTAGCTCAACACATGCACATCAAGATGAAATCAATGCTGCTGCTGCTTAAGTTCAAGACTTTTACAAACTCCAATCAACTTGTGCAAATCCCGACGTGCAGTCCTATTAACATGTTTTGTCATACACTTACAAGACTTAAATCCTTCTTTTTAAAGCACAGATGTAAATATGACATCAAATAATTGAACTCAGGACTGTAAAACTAAGCCATTATAACCAACCGCCCATGCTTACCAAATATATGAAAGGGAAAAGTCCTGCCATGACTGGATCGTCTGTATTTGCTGCCACTTAAAAAAAATACTCGGGTATAATGTGAATGTAACACATGAGTAGAGGTAATTTGTATAATAATACAATAATTTACAGCTATTTGTCAACCCACTGCTGGAGTAAGGTCTCCTCCCTCGCTAACAGATTCCACAAATATTACCACACAAAGCACTGTTCCGTTTAGTTAGGAAGCCCTTGATGAGGAGGTAAGAACCCAAACATGATAGCAAGTCTCTTGCAAAGGGGAAATGGGATTTAAGAAAAATAAATATTCATTGAGGTAAGAAGCAACAGCCAATGCCACGTGAGTTTTCTGAAACAATGCCGAGAAAGATGGGCAATCTAAGTGGTGAACTTCCAACCCAGAGGCGAGCACACAAACCACTGAAGCACCCGGCCACCCACTCTAAAAAAAAGACACAAACGCAGAGGAGACCTTGTATTGGGTGGCCCCTGATGGGCTAAACGCAGACAGGCAAATAAATAAGCCACAGTTCATTTGGCTGAGACGCCAACACACAGAGGCCTGTGAATTGCTCGACCGACAAGGTCGCTCTGTAGCCACTGTCCTTGTGGAAGTTCTGTACGATAAAAAATAAAAGTAAAATACAAGAAAGCATAATAAATAAATAACCCCCACCACTGCGGGTGTACCTGACTCCCTGGAGAAATGTATCATCAGCGGACACAAAAGACGCTGTCCTAATTGTTTTGGGGAAACAGTTCTGTACCAGAGGCGACAGTCCATAAATTAAAATAATGCCAACGCGAGGCAGCTCATGCGGAGGAATGAAAAGCAGTGCAGGCTCACGATGACAAGCCCATTGATTAGTCTTCATCACCATAATAAATCAATTACAATGTTTCTAAATTGCTTCATTATTAAGGAGACTGTTTTTTTTTCTCCATCAAACACTGATGTCCATAAAGTACGCTAGTTCTTTTTTTTTCCCCTCCCCATTTTTCAAACGTCCACAGTCAACGGAGCGATTTGACCGCTTGGCGATTAAAGAAAATGGCTAAGACGGCGGTGAGCCCCACGCGAACGCGTTTCCCGGGTGTCGATGTACCCAGAGAATTAACGGCGCTAGTTAAACGCACTCACGTCGTGTGCGAGATGATTCGGGCGCAGGAGTCGTCCTGCCAGCCGCAGTATGGATCACGTGCCGCTATGCAGTTCCTGATGCACGATCGGGGCAAAAGGGCACACGCGCACACATGCACGCCACATGTATTTAAAAAAAAAACTGTCATCACAAAATATTCAATACTTTGAAAGTCATTCTCAGATATGAAACGTATAACACAGTTGTCTCAATGGGTTTCGAACGTGACTGAAGGAAAAAAAAGCGCAAGACCGTTTTATAGGTGGAAAAAATAAAAGGCGCATAAGTGTGACTTGGGGGAAATACACGAGAGTACAGGGAGCGTGTACGGATAAATACATGCAAACGGTGAAAAAAGACATCAGCACACGGGCACACAACACACTCTTGTCTCAATAACTTGATAATGGAAGCAATTACAGCTTTTTAATAGATATCTATATTTAGCAAGCCTGTATGTGTTAGGTCATAAATCCTATCTTAATGGAAAAATTCTTAAATAATTAACTTTTACATTAAGGGGTCACCTAATTAAAAGTTTGAACAATGCTTGTGTGCGTGGCAAGGTGAAGTGGTCGGGGAGGCGAGACAATGAAAAAGGTAACTGGTTGCATCTTGACAGTCCGCGTGCTCACCAACTTTCCCAGAGCCCGCACCCCCCTCCTTCTCCCCCCCCCGCACACCCCTCCCTCTCTCCCGCCAGCTCCCCAGCCGCACGTGGCATCTCAAACGTCCCCAGACTCCCCCGCCGAAGCCAGCGACCCTCACGGCACTTGGAAGTGGCGCGGTGCGCGAGGAGCGAGATGTGAAAGGTCTGCAGGCTTATTGGGACTCTCCCAGCCCCCAGCTGGGCGTGCAAAAAACTCATTGCCCGAGGCTCAGATGGCAACCCAAAGAGGCGGACGTGGGTCATTGTGAGGGAAAGCTCTAACTGGGGAAGGTGAGGCTGCAGATGGGGAAGGGGGTACCAGGCAGAAGCTTCCCCTTCAGAGGACTACACTACCACCAATGTATCACTCCCGCACATGCCGTGCTTTAATTGCAGTCTGCGTTACACGCAGGTGCGGGGGGGGGGGGGGTGGAATTAACTGGAGCGTACCATATGGCATGCAGAGAGGGCATCAAATCACATTGGTGCTGGTTCTGACGCCGGTTGGTAGGAATGGCACTTTGCAGCCACTGTCCGCTAGTGCTGTGCCACAAAGACTGCTGTGATGTGTAGGTAGGGGAGGTCATTGACTGGAGCGCGCTGCCTCATTGAGAGAGGCCTGCTTGAATCGCCACAGCCGCAATATGAATGTTGGCCGTTTTATGTGGAGATCGGGGCGTGGGAATGGTATGGCTCTCTATTGATATGCTGTCAGGCAGTACAGCTCATCTTCAACACGAGGTTGAAAACCTTTGGCCTATGGGCCTCATGCTATTTAACGAAACGGTTGACGGGCCAAGTGAATGGAACAACGATTTTCAATTTAGAAGATGCTCATTCTCTGATTAGAAAAAGTCAAGTTCATCTTATTTTGCATTCTTAATCAATACATGCTTGCTAACACATGCATGCAGGGTCTTTTTTTAGAGCGAGGCACTAATGAAAAATATTTCATCCCGGACTGGGGCGTGCAGATTAATCCTAAGTGATGATTAATTTATTTTGTCTCTCGGTCAAATATTTCTCATCATGGTTCATCTGACAAAAGCCACCAGTAAATAGTCCTTGGTGGCTGAGTTGCAAGGCCACAGCCTTAACATTTGTTCCATTTGCACTCGACACTGCTCTCCACATACATTGGTAAAAAAAACTGGACGATCGCAACCCAGGCTTCTGCAGCCTCGTTGCGATCTCTAAGGCTCAAAAATTTGGGCCATATCGCGAGAAGGATATCTCACAATACTGGAAGAGGGGAGGGGGCCATGCATGTAAATTGATCGCCTTTAATGGTCTATTATTAGGCACCTGACAAAACTGGAACCTTTAGTGTGCTGGGGAAGACTTGCATATGCATGGCTACCTAAAAAGGAGGATGTTCTGGGAAAACTGGGAATGGTGGCAAGACCCGTAGCTACAGAGCATTGCATACTACGCATCCAGAAAAGGGAGAAAAAAACATCCTCCCACTCAAAGCTGGTGGGGGCCCATCAATCCAGGCCTCTGTGTGCCACATTACAAGTGAGTGGCACTGTGCTCGGCGAAGATAAATAGTTTATAATCTCTTCTTTATAGGAAAGGGGATGAAGGAGGTGGTGGCTAAGGTGGGGGATTAGGAAGGTGGGTGATGAAGGAAGTTCTTTGGATTTCTCTTTATGAGTTTCTCCCCGCAGGGAGTTACTGCTATGGTTCCTCCAGCTATTATTATATATACTTATTTTTGATGTGTGTCAATACAAAAAGGTGAAAACTTTTCCATCAGTTTTTAAGCACGAAGCAAACCCACAGATGTGCATTTCAAAATAATTAAGTTCGTCTCAAAACTATAAACTTGGGAACTTTATTGCAATCCAAGAGAAATGTGCCTGGTAAGATGCGAGATACAAAGCTGGTCCAGAGAAGCCAGTGTTTGTTTAGTGAATGGCCGGGGAAATTTGGATCTGACGCAGAAACTGAAACGAAATTCCACTTGTTCATCTCTGCTCTCTCAGAATTTTGCAAGGAAGCCAAAATGCATTTTGCTAAAGGGCCTAAGTGCATACATAGCTTGTCATGGCTCTTGACAGCAGCAGCAATGTCAGACAAAACGTTATAGGACTGTAAGTGTTGCTGCCTTTTATGAGCTGCTGCTGGTGCTGAGGTCCTGGGTTTGACTGCAGTCAAGGTTTGGCGTTTATTGAAAGTCGATGAGAAACAATGGCAGGGCTTAGGCCACCTGTATATGTGGGGCTAAGGTACAGATTAAAGCAGCTGGCAACGTCCATACTCGCTGCCTCGCTGCGGTGTCAGCCCGGCACTGACACCTCTCACGGAGGCCTTCATTGTTAACTGTCCATCACTGTAGTGTAATATATTTAATCCAATTAAGGGAGAATATTTGAAGATTGTAATCTTGTGTGCAGTTCGCTGTCACCTGTTCCTTTAACCTCACTGTACTAGCTATGCCATGTGATTTCACAATGCGTTGCACGAGTGTTGTTTTTACATTCACATTCAATGGGGCACAGACCATGAAGCTCACTGCACATGACAACCTCCGAAAGGCACCGGAGCTGAATGAGTTAAAATTTATCCTTCCTGAGTCAAAATCAAACTCAGAACCCAGAGGCACCAGCGCAGAACTCAGTACTGCGAGCACATCAAACCATCCGGCGGCCAGAAGAAACGCACGCACACACACACATATGCTTACATATGCATAATTATGACTGAAATTTTGCCAAGAAGTCAAAGCCCCCTCACCCACAACCTCTGCATTTAAATTTAAAGAGCCTGGCATGAATCAGAATGACTCCATATATAAACAAGGCAAGGTCTCACGATCATACACTTCTTAATAAAGTATCAAAAGTTTGCCAGAAAAAGTAAAAATGTCCCCTGGACTAAAAAAAAAGCTCTCACCTTCAAGGTGAGTTTGCAAACAAAAAATTTCTGCACCGATTGCAGGCCTTCCCCTGGCACTGGCTGCTGCATGCAGAGAACCTGAGAGATTTTTTAATTGAGGCAGCACGCCCAACTTGATGCCTGTAACCACTTTTGCAGGCTCCAACCCAGTGAAGGATGCCAGCCTACATACTCATGAATAACTATATTAACCAGGAGCGCAAAGTGGAAACCGAAGAATATTATTAAATGGTTATTGCACCGTAACGATGACACCTCTTTCTACCTTGGGCAGTAAGATCTTTCCTTGCATAACCATCGAAAAATCCAAACTAAACAGCTGACACAAATATTTAAAGATGTAGTGGAATTGGTACGCTGACACGAATTTTTTTTTTATCTTGCCTATCTTTGCTACTAAGTAGCTGCTATCAGCTACCACGGTCCAACACATCTGAACCAGAATCCACGGATGAGCCATCCAATGGCCTGAGTATACATATGTATTATTATTTTGCCACGTGGTCTGCTAGTGGTAGCCTTGTGTTCTTTACTTATGGACATCAATTTAAGAAAATTCTGTTACTGAAGAAATATATGTCATGTATTTAAAACATTCAGTAAACCTTAATCCTTCATTAAGACTTTATGGTAAAAAACAGAGGTAGTACAGGATGCAACGTTATCCTAAGTTGAGCGTCCATTAAGAGCAATGTTTATTTAGTGTGTAAAATTACTTGCAGTGTGCCAGAAAACTCCCATTACCAGAAATGCTCTTCCCCAAATTCATGCGGATTCAAGATGTTTTACTATATTTATACAATTGTGGAAAGGTTATGAAGCGCACTCCTCAATCACTCAGAAAATCTGAAGTCTTGGTACAGAACTCAGAGGCATCAATGCAGGGAAACCAAAGCACATGCAAGGTCAAAGAGCACGGCAAGAAAAAATCCACTTCTTCCATGTCAAAGGTCAAAGGTCGAAGCCCTCAAAATGGCAAATGCAGAATGTGACTTGAAATCAAGAAAGCCTCATTACTCTTCAGTCCATGGGAGAATGCCTTCGCCCTTTTCAGACAGGTCAAACGCTGGGAGGGAAGGAAAATCGGTGACCCCTTTGTCACCACTGCATGCCGCCCCCCACCCCCAACTCTGAGGATGGTGCAAACCGATCAACTTAGCAGCGCTTACTTCCTACACCTGGCGTGGCGCTCGCAGCGACTCAGCGGCAAGCGAACGACGCAGGCGGAGAAGGCGACAAAGAGCGTGTGGCTCTCGACGTCCAGCTGGATGCCCAGGATGCGGCGGTCTTCCTTGTCCCCTCTGTTGCACCTGCAGCCAGGAGAATTTAACAGAGACATTGTCACATAGTTCTCCCATATGTTTTCTGGCTTTTTCCCGCATGTTGCTCAACGTAACGTCTGACGGTTTCGCTGCACGTGATGGAACAGAATCGTATTTAGGCTGAAAACACATCAGAGAGACATTCAGCACAAGCATAAAAAAAACCTAAACACCAAATGGTCAAGAGCTCGTTTACCACAGCGAATGGGATGGCAATTCAAAGCATGGTTTCCACTCGCAGCTATAGGCTTGGATGGGCTGCGTCTGGTACAGGCATCAGAATAAATTGGTCTCGCAACTACCTGAGTTCATGAGCTGGTTAAACCCCAGACTGCGTACGCACCACACCAGATCAATTACCGGTGTGGCATGTTAAAGTATGTACATTTAGATGACCTTTGGGGGAAAAAAAACTGTCTACTTGTTTTGGATAACACATTGAATATTACTGGAATATTCCCCAAAATACTGTAGGGCAGCAGTAATGATTAATTTTTGGTTGGAACATGGAGCAATTACCTACAAGTGAAACTGCCTTCATCCAAAAAAACACAAATTTTCTGTAATGAGCCCAAATGACCTCAGTAGTGTGCAGTCTTGAACGTGTACACCATGATTAAGGAACTTAAAGTCCAACACGATGAGCGATTTCTCACAGAAATTTGGCCGCAGTGAATCACTGCCCCCCCAAACCCCCTGCTGTCCTCCACCAGCATGTCAGAAATTTTTGAATGATATGCTACTGGTCACAGAAAGGGATATAAAATGTGTAGATTTATAATAAAAAAGTCAGCACATTCATCAATAACACTGTGGCCGTAAAAAGAAAAAGTATCAAATAGCTGACGTTCTGGGCAATGGTCCTTTTTTCCCCAGCACAGACAAAGGCCAGAGAGGTATAGTAGCCTATGTGCTGTGAAGACAGACCATTGGCACAAACGTCGCCGATATGCTTTGCTTTTTTTTTATGAACGCTTTAAGATTTTTCGTGATTTGTGCTTGTGCGCCACTGCCGACGCGGCATCGCCAAATAATTTTACTTCAATAACACTGGTGTACAATTTTTTAGACGTCGTCTGCTTCAGAAATTAAATGTGCTGTTCATTATGGATTTTGATGCGCTGAATTCAAATATGACAATTAAAACAACTGATTGGCTACTGTTTCTAAGATATTTAACTTTTTACATTTTAAGTCGGTGTGACTGACATCGCAGATGTCAGTGTGGTGCCGGCCCTAGGGAGGCACGGCGTGCGATGTACTCACATCACAGACATCACGTGTGTAGTGACATCGTGGATGTGACATCGTGGATGTCACTGGGTAATTCCGGCTCTAGCGAGGCACGGCGTGCGATGTATTACCATCGCAGACACCACGTACATGTGGGTGTAGTACCAGCCCTATAGGGGCTCGGTGAGCGCAGATAGAGAGCGCCGAGTGGCACCACGCTCGGCGTGCAGTGCTGTCCCCTATAGGAGGGGGTGTGAGGGTGCCGGCCATGAATGTGGTTAAGGCCATGGCACTCTAGTTGACCCTGGAAGGCACGTGACGGGTAAGATCTACACAGGGGCCCCAAGTGGGGGCTAGGGGTGGTCATGTGTCGGGGCGAGATCCTGCTAGAGGGTTCGAGAAGGTGGCCGTGGCCAGTCATGACCAGTGAGGATATAAACCGGGTCCCCAGAGGGACCGGGGTTCAGTGTTGCTGTTGTTATCCTGAAGATCTACATGCGACGTTCTACGTCCGAGAAGAGTCACCAACACGTGAACCTGGACCCAAGCCGGGGTCCTGTCCATTGTAGCTACTCCCAGTGTGATTAGTGTAGTTAGCGTGGTGGTCCACCACCATAATGTGTAGTTAGCGTGGTGGTCCACCACCATAGTGTGTAGTTAGCGTGGTGGTCCACCACCATAGTGTGTAGTTAGCCTGGTGGTCCACCACCATAGTGTGTAGTTAGCCTGGTGGTCCACCACCATAATGTGTAGTTAGCCTGGTGGTCCACCACCATAGTGTGTAGTTAGCCTGGTGGTCCACCACCATAATGTGTAGTTAGCCTGGTGGTCCACCACCATAGTGTGTAGTTAGCCTGGTGGTCCACCACCATAGTGTGTAGTTAGCCTGGTGGTCCACCACCATAGTGTGTAGTTAGCCTGGTGGTCCACCACCATAGTGTGTAGTTAGCCTGGTGGTCCACCACCATAGTGTGTAGTTAGCCTGGTGGTCCACCACCATAGTGTGTAGTTAGCCTGGTGGTCCACCACCATAGTGTGTAGTTAGCCTGGTGGTCCACCACCATAGTGTGTAGTTAGCCTGGTGGTCCACCACCATAGTGTGTAGTTAGCCTGGTGATCCACCACCATAGTGTGGTTAGCCTGGTGGTCCACCACCATAGTGTGTAGTTAGCCTGGTGATCCACCACCATAGTGTGTAGTTAGCCTGGTGGTCCACCACCATAGTGTGTAGTTAGCCTGGTGGTCCACCACCATAGTGTGTAGTTAGCCTGGTGATCCACCACCATAGTGTGTAGTTAGCCTGGTGGTCCACCACCATAGGCTGTTATTTGGTAAAAGGTCAGTTACCCCTTTGTGTCGGTATCAATAAATGTGTTGCCTCCAAAGAGGGCATCTGTGACTCAGTTGAATCCACTACATATGTATATTGTGTAGATAGTAGAGTTTTACTCATAAGTTGTAAACCTATGCGTTTTCATGTGTTTATGGTTGCTTAACATGATAACATGTCACCTGGCCTGTTCATGTAACACTTTAAACATCAGCAAAGGGGTTACACACATAAAATGTATCATGAAACAAAAGGCAAAAAACTATAATGTATATATAAGAACATAGTTTAGTCCTTATTCAGTGTCTACTCTGCGCTTCTTGGCTTGTCTCTTGCATTCATTAATGGAGCACCTCTTGTCACTGTCCAGCCATAGTCTGCAAACATTGATGGGCTCCATTTGCCCTGATAGCGTTTCTCCATTGTTGCAATGTCCTGGTGAAATCGCTCCTCATGCTCGTCCCTCACTGCTCCGCAGTTCGGTGGGAAAAAATCTAGATGAGAGAGCAAAACATTTTTCTTTAGTGACATGTTGCAACCAAGGCTTTTGTATGCCTTGAGGAGGTTTTCCACCAATTCCCTGTAGTTGTTTGCCTTGTTTCCGAGAAAATGTGTTGCCACTAACTGGAAGGCTTTCCATTCCGTCTTTTCCTTGCCACGCAATGCACTGTGAAATGCATCATCTCGAAGATGTTCACGAATCTGAGGACTGACAAAGACACCTTCCTTTATCTTAGCTTCACTTAACCTGGGAGATTTTTCACGGAGGTACTTGAAAGCTGCTTGTGTTTTGTTCATGGCTTTGACAAAGTTCTTCATCAGACCTAGCTTGATGTGTAAGGGTGGTAATAAAATCTTACTTGATTCAACAAGTGGTGGTTGCTGAACACTTTTCCTCCCAGGCTCCAATGACTGTCAGAGTGGCCAATCTGTTTTGATGTAGCGGGAATCTCTCGCACGACTATCCCATTCGCAGAGAAAGCAGCAGTACTTTGTATATCCAGTCTACAGACCAAGTAAGAGCGCAACAACCTTCAAATTGCCACAAAGCTGCCACCGATGTTGGTCAAAGTTTATGCACCTCAAAAGTTATTTCATGTTGTCATAGGTTTCCTTCATATGGACTGCATGACTAACTGGAATTGATGGCAAAATATTGCCATTATGCAGCAAAACAGCTTTAAGACTCATCTTTGATGAATCAATGAACAGCCTCCACTCATCTGGATCATGAACGATGTTGAGGGCTGCCATCACACCATTTATGTTGTTGCAGGCTACAAGATCACCTTGCATGAAGAAACATGGGACAAGATCCTTTTGATGGTCAGAGAACATGGAAATCCCAACATCGCCTGCGAGGAGATTCCACTACTGCAGTCTGGAGCCCAACAGCTCTGCCTTGCTCTTGGGTAGTTCCAAATCCCAGATAAGGTCTTTCAGTTCACCTTGTGTTATAAGGTGTGGTTCAGAGGAGGAGGATGGTAGCAAATCTGGGTCATGTGACCTTGATGGTTCAGGACCAGAAGTCTCATCCTGTTCCTCTTCCTCGTCTGACTGATGTGAGAATAATTCTGGTGCATCAGGAACCGGCAGTCCTTCCCCGTGGGGTGCTGGGCGTATAGCTGATGGAATGTTTGGATAATGCAGTCCACTTTTTCTTCTTTGACACACCTTTCCCAACTGGAGGCACCATGCATGCTGATATGATCTGTTGGCTCTCTCTAAATCATTGGCACTGCAAAAGGCATAGATTTCCTTTTCCTGTTCAACCACTGGCGAAGATTTGTTGCACAAGTGTTGCAGCATGTGTCTTGTCCCGATCTCCAATTTTGCAGCTCAAAAAGCAAGTACTGTCCAAACCCAATCATAGATTTATTCATAGATCTAGTCAAAGATGTATTTGTCATTTCTGGTTTAAATTGAGATCCCTTCCCAACTCACTCATCCTCTGCCATTCCCAAGTCAAGGGTTGTATATACTGACCCAGTAACATATCTTGAAAACGAGAACCAATCAACAATTTTAAGCATCATTTTCATTTTTAGTGACCCAGAATTAGTAAAGTTGGACTAAATTTATTTCGGAAGCATTTTGGCTGTAGACCATTGTAATTTGACGTAGATAGAACATTGTTCTCACTTCCACGTCTTTTAAGAGTGTGCAGCAACAGCAGTAGCGCACCAAAAGTTATCCGGAGCTCTGCGCTACTCTTGGATCGGCATGTTGGCTCCACGTGATGCCAAACACACATCCCCCCCCACCTCCTCAACCTTCAACCCCTACCTGCAAAATCTGGGGCACGTCGATCTCGAGCACTTATCCCAATTATAACCACTCGTGAGCCCGAGAGAGAGAGAGAGAGGGCTCTCACGGTGAAAATCAGCGTGCAGCGAAGTGAGGCATGCAACGAGAATGCTGCTGCAGGAAAATGGCTCTCGCAATTAAGATCCGCACATTGTTCGGGACAAAAGGGGGCAGCCGCATTTTTGTTAGCACAGAGATCTCCCCGCAGCGACAAAATGTTTGGAATTTTTTTATTTATATATTTTATATTTTTTACCGGGATAGCACATACTATTCCGTCGAGTATTCTTTTGTTAGCCAATGTCTTTGTAATGCATGCTAACAAGGAAAGTTTTAAAGAATCACTTGCTTTTGAAGTCATCTGTGTGAGTATTTTAATTTACCTTTGTCAATGCTGTTTGGATATATAAAAAACATTTTCATACAAAATCTTTTTTGCAAATATTTTCATGCATCTTCAACCCTGACATTTTTAAGTGTGGATATGCTTTCATAAGAATGTAATAATTACGTGAGCAAAACATTGAAGTGCAACTATAAAACAGTTATTTACAAAACAAGAGGCATAATGTAACTATTATTCCATACAAAAAAAGCAAGATGTATGCATTGTGCATGTGAGAATTCAAGTAAACTTATGGGCCTGCATGGGTAATACATCAGACAGATATTCTGCAAACTTTTCTTTTACTTGCAGTGTGGGAAAGTATTCAACAGTCCTGTACCATGGAACACTGGGAAATTTGGAGACATTTAATACGCATAGTATATGAAGACTGATTTTATACGCAACATTTTCAATTTTCACGTGGACTACTGGATGACACATGGGCCTCTCCCAACTTTAACCCGAACATTCTGGGTCTCCTATGTGGCCACAGAACCTGCCCATGAATGAACGAACCAACCTGCAGATGTGCCACTTTTACCCCCTTAACATTTGCACATCCAAACCCTGCCAGTATGGGGGCCAGCACAGCATGGGTGACTTTCCTTTGGTTATTTACTGAGTCGTGCTATGGCTGGCCTCACAAAACACCTCAATTTAGCTCGGGGCAGAACCAATGATTTGTACCATGGAGGGCTGACTTGAGGGCTGACCGAGGGAGGGGTGCGCAAGATCACCACGTATGCCAGTTGAGCTTCCGAAGAAATGTGGTAGCTTTGCACATCTCATGCACATTTGCACACTCACAGTTTGGGGTTATAGACGTCGATCTGCTCGAGGAGGAGGCTGCCAGGCGAGTCGGGTCCAGGTGGTGGCCATGACAACACCTTCAGCACCAGGCCCATCTCAGAACCCAGGAACAGCACTGTGTGGCGGCCGTGCGGGCCTGCCGAGGGGTCCACTGCCAGGCGGGTCACCCGGTATCTGTGGAGGCCCGGGATTGAAGTTGTCAGGGAACCAGGGGCACAGGCGGCAATGTCAGCAGCAAAGGCAACAGCTGCAGCAGCTGCAGCAATAGCTGCAGCAGTAGTATGAGATATGGTAACAAAAACTATTTTTATATTTTTAATTTTTGCAGTCACTTTTGTGACTGCAGAAATTCGTATTCTTGGTTCTTTCGGTAAAGTAACGTAGATAGAAAATAAAAATTGAATGAAATAAAAAAAGAAAGTTAAATTTAAAAAATTAAAGCAAAAACCCACGACGTTTCGATCGCAACACAAGCGGTCTTCATCAGGCGGAGAGAAAAGAGGGGGCAAGCCTCCAAAAGCAAATGCTTCTAAGGGCTTTCAGAGTGAGCAAATCTGTGCGGCGTCAACAGCATGGGCAGGGCAGCCAGCGCACATGTAGGAGCAAAGCACCGGAAGTACAAGTAAAACGAGTGCGTTCGACAAAGGTGGGTGGGAGGGGGCAGAGACAGGGGGAGAGAGAGGGGGGGGGAGAGAGGGGGGGGTAGAGATAGGGGGAGAGAGAGGAGGGGGGAGAGGGGGGATAGAGATAGGGATGGAGCTGAAGGCAAGGGCGCAGTCCAAGTGTGTTAGACACGGTCTCGGACTGTGTTCGTGAACATAAGGCAGATCTGAATCACGGCAGGACCAACACTTCTGCCATGGCTGATTATTACTTTAATGTGGTTGGCTCACATGAAATTTATTTCTCTAAGACGATGGTACTTTGTAAGCCGACTGGCTATCAACAAAGATTCGTTCACGAAGCCATCCATATATACAGAGACAGACACAATTTCAACCGAGACGACGATTTTAAACTCAGTAATCATTGGAAAGATGTCATCAACCACTTTGGGTCACGACTCGATATGTGTTTTCTTGTCAACCTCTACTGTCAGCAGTGTGGATGGGTGTAGCGAGGTGCAATGCCCCCCCCCCCATCTCTACCCCCCTCTCTCCCCCTATCTCTACCCTCCCCCTCTCCATCCCCCCATCTCTACCCTCTTCCTCCCCCCATTGTTTAACACGCTTGGACTGCCTCTCGCCTTCAGCTCCACCTCTATCTCTACCCCCCCTCTCTCTCCCCCTATCTCTACCCCCTCACTCCCCCCCATTGTCTAACACTTGGACTGCGCCCTCGCCTTCAGCTCCACCGCTACCCCCCCCTCTCTCCGTGAAAGACTGGCTAAGTGTGTAAACACAGTTTAGCTAAATTTGAAACATACATGTAAAAATGTATGGTTTAATTGCTGCTAAACACTATTTTGGGCAGCAGGGATTCAAGAAAGGCATTTGAACAATCATGATGATTATGGAAGGATGTCCCCATAGCACTTTTACTTCACTGCCCGACATTAAAACGCGATTTGCGGTAAACATTTCATTTGTATAATTTCATTGGTGCGGTTCTCTTGAAAAAAAACAATGAGTAAGGAATCGTACTTATTTGTTTTTTTTTATTAATTGTCTGGAGCATGGGATACTCGTATGTGATATTTTTCTTCAAAGGAGTTCATGAGAGAGCCATAGCAACCAACCGGCTGCTATGAATACCCAGATTGTTATAGGCAGGATGAAAGCATATTCGCCAGTCCAATGCCGGTGTACAAAACTCCATGGATACACAACATTTCTAAAGAACAAGCCATGCTTACAAATACAGTGAGTATTGCTTATAAAGCAATGCACTGTACTCGCTGTGTCAGGACACAAAACGTAGCAAAACAAAGTGCACCTTTTTGAAAACGTGTTCAACAGCCCTTGCCCAACATCAATCGAAATCCGCTGATGCACAAACATAAATTCACAAGTGTTGTACTGGCTTTTTCATTAAAAGGTTACAAAGCCACGGCAGCCTTTAATAGACATAACCAGGGGCCCTTTTTAAACCTTTCCAAATTTCGAACATTACTCCCAAAAGACGAGATGATGCTGTTAAAGGGAGTTTATCATTTCTTTCAATCCTCGTCTCTGACAACCGTAATATGTTGCCCACGGGCTAGTTACACGCATGCAATAACTCCTCGCTTAGACTAGATGTCCCAGTTATAGACACTCGTTCATACCACACGTGCTCAGATATGTCAGAACAACCAGGACATAAATACGGGAATAAGAATTATTTCACTATACCAGAATAGAGAACTACTTGTAAATGCAACGTCTTGAGTGGCATACTATCACATAGCTTACAAAAACTAGGACTTTTGGGCCTGTAATTTTAGTCACAGCTTGGCTCAGGCTTGGTTCTGGCTCAAGAGGGCTTTCTAAAAGCCACACTTAACTAGTGCTGGCTTCTAAGCATGGTCCCAATCATGCCCAGGAAGTCCATGAACTGAGCCAAGTGATATACGAAATGCTTATGCATCTTTGAGAGCAACCGAGTGGTCAAAGCATCAGCTGAGCCCCATTAGAAGCCAAGCCATAGCCGAGCCGTGATTTGGAATATGGCCCTTAATGTGCAGAGAAGACCTACAGGGTGCACAGTGGCGAGATGTTAACGACCTCGCCTGGCATACAGAAGATCGTGAGTTCGATCCCGATCCTGACGCCTGTATATTTGGAGTTTAGATGTTTTCCCGTTGGTCGCGTAGATTTTTATCTGGGTTCTCCAGTTTTTTCCTCCACATTTAGAAACATGCGTTTAGAGTATTTGGTCGCTATACATTTCCCAATGGTAAGCCACTTCGTTGAACTATCATTTGTGGCCAGGTCGCTTCTGAAAAAGAGCTACACAGCTCAGTGGGCCTCGCCTGGTAATGAAAAATATATATATATATATCCCTGGAGAGCTATCTCAACCAGAGGATGATTCTGGGAAAAACCAGGATAGGTGGCAACAGTAGCCTGATACCGAAGACATGGGCAGGCCGACCGACATACGAGAGTTGGCTCACCTGACGAGGGTTCTGATGAACCAAGGCTGCTCTGTGATGGAGCCCACGGCATCCTCCATCAGCGGGTGGGTTTTTATAAAGGCCAGGGTGTCGTCGGGGAAGTCCGAGGAACTCTTGTACTCGTCGGCAAAATCAGAGCCGGCGCAGCATCCCGGTCTGCGAAGAACGCGGGCGAAATTGAACGGCGCCTCAAACAGAATTTTAACATCAACCAAAACTCAAAGCTTCTTTTTCAAAGTCCAGGCTCCAATAGACTTCATTATGCTACCATGGCAACATCCGGGCCGAGAAAGGGATGGGGGAATTTTGAGTCTGGATGCTTTTTATGTGCGCACCCAGAATGATCTGAAAAGCTGTGTTCGCATTTCCGCTATATGCAACTCATTGGACATCGAGTCCAATATCTAAAAAGTTGAATACATAAGGTGATGTCGGTAGATGATGCAAATTCGTATAAAATCTACTGAAACGAATATTATTGTCCACCACTCTCATAGCAATTGTTAATGTGAGCAGACTCAGGCATGACATCTTCCCCAAAGAATTAACACACAAGGCTGGCAAATGATGAACAGCCAAGGAATATAATGCAAGGATAACACAGTTTGGTGAAACCAGTGAGATGCAGTCACAAACTATTATTAAATTCATATTTTTAATCAATAATTGACCCAGCGTGTGGAAGGCCATCCATCAGTGGATAGAGAATAGCCGATGGTGTTCATATTATATTCAAACAATTATTCCCACACTACACAGTGGCACACACAAATCTCCTCTGAGTTTTACACGAATAAATATAGAGGGGGGAAATCGTATGATAATGCGTCTCATTATAAACAATATTTCAGCTAAGCATGTTCAGTTTTAAATTGCATCAACAGGCCTATACATTCATCGTACACAGGGAATAGAGAAACGCACCTAATTTCACGTTATTATTAGGCCGAGGTATTCAACGTTACTAATTTCCATAACTGCGAATACTACACTTTTAATGAATCTACACTCACTTAATTCATGAGTCCAACTGCAAGAAGAATACTTGCGCAGTTCAACTTGGAACAGCTTATTAAGAACTTATTTATTGAAATCTACTGTGGATTCCTAAATCTGGCAGGGTTGTGAGAGGAAACCACCTCCTCTAAAATAGTATACAGAAGCGATCGTCCCACTTCTGACAAAAGCGACCATACGAACAGAGGTAACGCATGACCGTTAAGTAAAAACAAATCCTTATTATGACAGATGCTCAAAGTTCGCCTAAAACAGAATACGGGTGAGTGAGTCGATTACTTATTTATTATCAACTTTATTTTTGGTGACTGCCAACCGAGATAGTTCACCTTTGCCAGACAGACCAAAGTACGAACATAAATTATTACATATCCAATAAAAAAAGCAGCAATATGCCAGCAATAACACTCAGTAAGACGAACAAGAAGAAAACTTCAATCACAAAAAAAAACCAAGCACCACATAAAACAAAATCAAAACGACAGCCCTTTAAATTGTGAGCTTGAAATATAAAACTTAGTCAGGGAACACACAAGTAGCTTAATTGCAGAAAGTTGATTTGCTCACACACGTGTTTTAGCGAGGGAGTAATTTGAGTGAATTGATTGGGAAGAGGCCAAGCAGCGAGTGATCTCTGAAGAGGGAGGGTCTGCCAAATACATAAAATCGAATATAGAGCTGTTAATGGTCACTTCAAAAAGCTGCTCGTGGCGTGGAACTTAAAGGCTGTGCAATGGCCCAATAATGGAGCGAGTCAGATGCCAGCCATGGCTTTACTCAATAGGCACATGCCACATCCAGGCATAAACATACGCACACGGGCTACTGTGAGCCACTCAACTTTCAATTAATTTACAAAGTACAAAAAAATGTACGAAGCTGACTTTTACTTTATTTATTCAACTAATTCTCAATATACTACCTGATGAAGGCCTCTGTTCTGTTGACACTGGCTCATCGGCATGTCTCGCCGATATTTGTGTCACTTCCATCACTCGTTCACTGGTTCTGACTACAGTTATCTGCCCAAATATTCTTGTTTATACTCATGTTGATAATCATGCTTTGAATTCTTCAGTATTTTTATCAGTATTTTTTTATCCATGCATTCCTCCACATCTCCCTGGGTTAGTCAAAGCAGACATCTGGGTCACGCCAGTGTGCGAAGCAATGAAGGTGACGCATGGCCTCTAAACAATTAATTCCACAGCATATTCAAATCTCAATCCCAACCCAAATATATATTTTAAAGCCAAGCGCGGCATTGGCCCGCCAGAACCCTGGTGGGTGGGTGCGGCATCAGCGGTGCCGTCGGAAAAGATTCAGCCAGCCATGCGATGAGTCCGCACACATTAAAGATTCTACCACTCTCATTGAACATTGCGTACTGGTTCTGGTTACAAGCGGGAGCAGACCGTCACAGGGGGAGGCAAAACACCAAATCACCTTTTCAAAACAAATAAAAATGTTCCCAGGATTATTTTTAACTTCAAAAGACTGCATACTACGTGGAAGCACCTACTTTGAGGGAGCAATGTTTTTTTATACATCCAGGGTTAATAATGATTATTATTTGTATCACATCGCAAGACTTTGAGGGTTGGCGATGGCCCCCGGGAGGCCAAATCGTGGATTTATCATGACTCATGCTGATATTTTCACATCTGAACTCTCTTTTATATCACTGTTATCATGACACTTTAGTTTTTTTCGGGGAACTTAACTCATATTTTTTAGATGTAATTGTCAAAAGTAAATCTCTATGCTACTTGCAACCCAAATTTAGAATTTGTAAAATATTTTTGGCTTTTTCTTTTCCAAACCTGTTGGGATCATGCTCACAAAAAAGTGACATTAAAGCAATGTCTGGCCTTGGAATAAGGTGAATGGAAACATAAAATTCTATACAATTTCATGGCACAGAAGTTTTATTTACCAAAAATATGCCAATTAACAGAATGTTTCAAAAGACCAAATTTGTTTGATATGATGCCATACATCTAGGGGTCTCTCTGATTACAGCTGAAAAAAGTAGATTGCAAATGAGTACATGCTGTGCAACTCCGGTGACTCCGCTTACAGAGTTTGGATTATATTCAGCACAACTCCATTTGGTATCTGGAGAAATGTAAAGACATTAAACTATTTAAAACTATTCAACGATTTTTTTTTATCAGGTAAGGCCCACTGAGCTATTAGCTTCCTTTTCAGAAGCAACCTGGCCACAAATGATAGCTCAATGAAGTGGCTTATCATGTGGAAAATGTATAGCAGTCAAATACTTTAAACGTATGTTTCTAAATGTGAAGGGAAACACCAGAGGACCCAGAGAAAAATCCACACGACCACAGCGAGACACCGCACACCCCAAATAAACATTAGGCGTCAGGGTTGGGATCGAACCTGCGACCTCCTGAATACCTGTCGAGATAGTTAACATCTCGCCGCGGCGGCGCCCCATGCGGACGCGCACAAAGGCACTCACTCGCATTGGCATGTACAGATTACGCCATCCGAATGACAACTTCAATGGGGGTTAAACACGTAATCAACGTTGCCAAATCGTGCATTTCGTGAATTCAACGAAGTTACACTTGCACGTCGCTGCAAGATGCACGCAAAATGCCTTTGAAAAAGGCGCACTTATTGTTAATGGTGGGGTCCCAACAAATATCAAACAGGCATGCACGCCACGTTGCGCAGCACTCGAACGGGATCTGCTTGTCGTCGGGTGATAGGCAAATAAAAGGGCGCTCCCCCGCGGAGCAAAGGACGAGCTCTTTGGCTGCTCTTGGCCTTTTGTCTCCCGAAAGCTCACACGGCATGCGCCTGTCACTTGATTAAATGCAGCTTGCTGTGCGCACCCACGCACCGACACTCCCACATGCGAGCCATCCACGCCATCAACGCACGCATCCTTTGGCAATGAGACCTTTTTGCTTTTGAAAAAGTGATCTCATGGAGCTGACATGTGATCGTTGTAGCAGAAATTAGTGTACTATCTGCGAGTGTAAATAACCCGAGTGGGCGGGGGTGAGATACCGCAAAACACGCATTGCAAAATTATAAACATGGTGAACAAATATTCAGTTATCCCATGACCTTACACTTCCATTAGGACTACGATGCTAACGAGGTGCAGCGTCAGTGGAGGAAAATGGCAAAGCGACGTTTCTGTTACATCTGTTGAACCCGATTTCCAGCGTCAACTGACACCTCGGCTTGTCTGATGATATGTTAATTCCCGAACGAAGTTGATAATGGAAGCGGGAAAACACAAAGTGAAATGAACAAGAATCGAGGAAAGCGTGGCAGACCTGGGTTTGGGAAGCTTGTCCTCGGGCACTGTGGTCCAGCCCGAATCGGAACTTTTCTGCTCCTTAAACCGGCCGCGGAAGACGCTGAGCAGTTCCTCCATGTCGAACGCACACACGGCAGAGCCTGGGATGCTGGTCACGAGTGTGCACAACAAGGAGAGACGCACACACACGTACACAAAACACATGTTGAATGCATGCACGCACATACACACAGGACAATAATACACAAACGCAATACACACGCTCATACAAACCCTTACAAAGCACATAAAATACAAACACACGCTATTCACACAGGCGCACGTACATACGCACACACCCGTAAAGAAAACATGCAATACAGATGCGCACATAATGCACGCACGTACATCACACGCATGTGTGCACGCACAAACACACACACAGCACATGCAATTTCGACAACGCATTTCACACACACATTACACACACGTGCCTGCATGCCCACACACACAGTACACGCAATACACAAACACAGACACACACGCGCACCATGTCATACTTTCAGAACCGTGCCATTTTCGTAAAACTTTGAAATACCCATTGGGCAATTACATGACCTACACACAAATCTATAGAGCTGCACCAATGTCCACCTGCGCCTTTTCCTGACGGTGGGTCGTGGCAAGACGAGCGGCATTGAAAATCCATAAAAATCTATCCTCGCCGCAGGGCGTGTGGGCGTAGTTCATAATATAAGCGCAGCTCAGCGTGCAAACAAGTACCCAATACAATTCGGTATTACGGAGGACAACACAAAGACATCCGACAACCCTGCACGGTCATAATAGAGCAATGCATGAAAGAGCGAGGGAAGGCTCGGACATTTAAAAAAAAAATTACATAATAAGATGCAGACAGGCAGAGTGAAAGAATGTTTAATGAAATCAATCACAAAGGCCGAGGAGAATAAAACGCTTATCTACAAACGCAGGCAGAGGATCGTGAACAGGGGCAGCGCGGCTGAAGGCAACTCTAGGCTTGTGAAAATGGCAGAGGCGAAGAGTAACATCACAAATTGGAGATCCATGAGTAAATGAGCGACAAATCACTTTTACAAGCAGATGGGCCCCTTCTCTCCTCCTGAAACAATGGAAGAAGGGAAGTGGGCGCCATCACATTCTGCTTCAGACCCCCGCCAAGGCTAAGGAAGAAGGAGAAGCTCTGAATGCCTCGGCTGGCCAGATGTTGCCTTTAAAAAAAAGCAAACACTTCCTAACGACCAGATAAAGAAATCAGTGGTGCATGGCAGAACAAACACATGCCCCCAGGAAACGACTTCACCTCTCCCTGTTTTTATTTCTATTACTTAAGGACTGTCAAAACACAAAAGGGCTTATTTAATAATCTATTCATCATTCATCAAGAACGTAACCATTAAACCTGCTCTACCCACCCAACAGCCATGGCACGTTGTTGTTGTTGTTGCCTGGGGTTTTGTGTAGTGACTTGTAGAGGAATCTCTGTAGTCTTTGGAGCATGTTTTCTCTTTCAGCTGCGATTCGCTCACTGCGCTTCCATCGGATGTCATCCATCCCAGTGATTCGTCTTACCCAGTCCACTTGCTCCTTGTAATGGGGTGTGATGTCTTGGGCACTGGATTTTCCTCTGAACCATGCGTTTCACTTCATATCTTAGCTGGCGAGCTAGAACGCCAAAAACCTCTTCACGCTTCTCTGGGTGACTTGCAGCTGTCGTGCCAATTTACGTTGCCGCTGACCGCATTCGATGAGTGCTAAATCTGTCCTGGCAAATAATCAGTGGGGGGGGGGGGAATAAAAACCCCACGCACTTACAAAGCAGGCTCGTCTCTGTGCTTCCTTTGTATTCAGGTGCTAGTGGGCAATTTCTTAATTAACCCATTTCACCACGTGTTTAATCCGTGCCGGCAATCGGCGCGGGCATAAGTGAACTCATGTAAAAACACGGGCAATGTGCCAGCATCTGCTGCAACGGAAATTTTTTGCCTACAGCCTCTTGAGGAGCCAAAGCAATAGCCGTCGGTGCCAACTCGGCATCATGGCCAGGGGGACGGCGAACACGCGGCTCCATGTCCCAGTGAAACACCGCTATCACACACTGCCGAGGCTGAAAGAAGCAGATGTGGCTCGTTATCAGCTTTTAATTTATTCTAAGCATTTCAGCAAGGCATTACAATAATTCATGCCAATTTATTTCTGAAACCGTAGATAACACTGCCCAAAAAATTATAATTGCTAAATAAATAACGTCGACACCTGTATCCACGTACAAACGTGTAAGCAAGCCAGGAAGGGCGAGATCGGCAGGTGAGCCCCACCGCACCTCGCGTGAGATTATAAATGCTGTGTCTTCCCACACACGCCAATCATCCTCAACAACACGGGGTTTTGTACCTATTCGCGCTATTGTTTCGCAATTTCTTGCAAATTGTACCACACGCCGCTGCTTCTGCTTTGTACGCCTGCCAAGTTTTGGTTTCCCAACCCCAAGCCTCAGGCATTTCCACTAAATCTCAACAATCCTGATGAAATCCCACACCCCGGCACAGCGTGCGGCTCGGATCAACCACACGTGCGTGCAATGGACAATTATATTTCTTCTGAAGCGTTTCCATCAACAGTGAAGGACATCTACGCATTTGTCTTGTCCATCATTCTCCATATATCACGGCGGAAACGTGGAAGGCCATTGCAACCTTTGTAAATCTCAACACATTTCAGGCACTCTTTGTTGGGGAGCATAAGGTTAGTCAGACACTCTTCCACTGTTCATGCAGTGCTCATCATGAGAATGTGGTCCGACAACAGCTAACTTGAAACCACTCAAATGCTTACTTGTATTAATGTCTGTAAATTATGAGAAAAACTGTGCAGGCTGAAATACTTTCAGTTTAAAACCACACACAAGACACTTCTAAAATGCACACAGCCATTTGTGCATATGCAAAAACCATCAGTATTTCCTAAAGATGTGCAGTGTAGAATTCTTGTCTTGCTGGTGCCCTAAGACAACAGGACCACAACGCACCTCTTCAGGAAATGCTGATTGTTTTTGCATAAGCAGAGAGGCTGAGTGCTGTTTATATGATTTTCTGAACTTAATAAATGTATATTCTTGGTTCTTTCGGTAAAGTCACGTAGAAGGGAAACAATAAAATAATTTTCTTGCTGTGGTTTTCACACCTGATGATGATTGCTTGTGTTGCAGTCGAAACGTCGTGATAATTTTATTGTTTTATATTTTTATTATTTTATTGTTTCCCTTCTACGTGACTTTACCGAACGAACCAAGAATATGAATCCCTGCAGTCACGAAAACTTAAAATCAAAATTTAATACATGTTTCACTTGTTTTCACAATTCGATGTGAGAAAAAAATAAAAAGTCCACCACACTCAATATATAATGAATACATATTTAGGTATTGTCTTTGCAAGATGGTTGATCCTTACTGTGTCTACGCACAGGACAGGTTATGATTAATGTCCATTAATTAAACCCATGTTCTGATCTCTAAACATCATTCAGGTAAGAGCGTTGAATGCTGGGGACTACCACACAGCCATGCAAAACTGGGTGCTTTTGACAAGCAAGGTGCAGGTGGTATTTTAAATAATATAATAAAAAAAGCCAAGGGTTCATTATACATGTGTATGAACAACCTCAGACCCAGGCGGAATAGCGACATTTTAATGAATATTTTACAAATGCCACGGATGGGTCACATGCTGCCTCAATTTCCTATTGTAAGCACGAGAGAGACATTTTTTTTGTTGCGCCTGCCACTGCCCTCTGACCGACACCAATACAAATAAAGGTGCCCAGGTCAACAGGTTAAAGGAGCCCGTTACAGAATCCACACTCAAAAGATAACAAGCACCGAAGCCAGCTGCCGTAATGTGAACATTAATCTTCTTTGGGTTCAAGGAGATGGTCAAGTAAATGTTTTACCAAGACTATGCAGAGGTCATTATTCAAAATAATAAGACAAAGAAGGAAAATTACGCAACCGCATGGATTGTCCTAAAACACTTTCCAACGTACATTTGTTCTCACAATTATTTACAAATAATGATAGGTGCAAAAGCAAAATATTGAGATGACATCGTACGGCACATGATGTAGGACATCGTAAGATGACATCACACGGTAATCGGGAGTGCATGCGCCAGTATGACGTGATGTAGAAAGATGACATCACACATAATGGTGTTATCGCCTTGGGCGCCTAGGATAATACTTTGAAGTTTGGCAAGTCCCTAAGAGAAAAATAACTTTATCATAAAATTGTATTTATATTGGATTATCTATACGGGAGTTATTGTACCCTTCTTCCAACAGCCAGGGCCATTGCATTAACACTGTCAACCTTCGTTGAAATGAGTTAAAACACTTACAGAAACAATAAAACATATTTTTTCTCAAAAATCCCCATTACTTTACAAGCTTTCTTTCTGTTAGAGCCAAGGACACTGAATTCAGCATCAAGGTCAAAATATGAGAAAAATAATTTGCACAGGGGACAAAAAAAAAGCGAGCAGAGGGTGAGGGGTCTGTGTCCGTCTGATTAAATGAGAGTACCTGTTGGCAGGGGTGGTGAAGACGCCCAGCACTACGTCTCTGCCGTTGATGGTGATAATGTCCGTCAGGGCCTGTAGCTCATTAAAGTAGAAGTGAGTGTCGCCGGGGACGGAGCAATTAAGGCGCGCTTTAACGAAGGACGTCCAATGCTTGTCCAGCACGCGCTGCGAGCCGCCGGCGTCGTCCTTGCACACGCGCGCCACGCGCGACACCACCACCTGGGGGCACGGGGACACGGGCACACATCAGCCACGCGCGACACCACCACCTGGGCACACGGGCACACATGCACACAGGCGCATGTGCACACATCAGTGGAGTGTCTTTCTGCGAGGAGTATGTATGTTCTCCCCCGGCATGGGTTTCCTCTAGGTTCTCTGGTTTCCTCCCACAGCTAAATAAAACATGCAGTGTAACTAGTATTGTCCAAATATCCAGATGCTGAAATTTTATCTGCAAATTACTCAATTGTGATGACGCATAGCAACATCATCCTCCCACTCCCCCCAACCTTCAATGTGAAAGCTTGGCAAGCATCTTCTAAAAAAGTATTAAGACCCAGTGAGGCTTTTCTGGGTAAAAAAGTATAAATAATAATGCTCACACTGAATGCAAAATGTCTAAATGCAATTCCATTTCAAGACATTTACATTTTTGATTTGCATCTTCCCCACCAATTTTATCCCAATTCTACAATCAATATCATGCCACTGATTGCAGCGTGACACTTCTTGTTAGAGAACTGCCAATGGAAAGATATGATAGAGCTACCTCTGAAATCCCTTTTAAGTGACTTCTGGTCAAGAAATTAGGGGGCAGCCCTTCCTATCCACTCTTGTCATTGAATGTAATATTCATTACACTCATATCGAAACGATATTTTTATATATAAGGCCTGCAATTAGGAACATTTATATGTAAACCAAATGGAATGTGGTGGAGGTGGGTGGGGTGGCGACGGTGCTGAGACTATCAACTCACTACGCTTGAGAACCCGGTATCAGCAGACAGGCGGATCTGAACCCAGGATCTCAGCGGTACCGACTCATTACTTTGACCTCTGCACCAACCATCACCCTTAACCAAGATGATGTAAATTAAGCGACGAGCGTTAGATTTGAGGCGAGAGAGGTGATCACGACACAATTTGTGGTGGTCTTGAAGTTGTATTGGAAACTCCACATGACTATGACAGGGACTATGATGACGAAGGGAGGTGATAACCTTCTACATGAAAGAAGATTATCTATGATCTCGATCAGGCTGGAGGGAAGAGTTAAGAATTAGGTGTGGACTTGAAGATTGAAGAGAGGGAGGGAGGCAGCCACGTGGTCAGCCAGGGGGGAAGAGATAGCAATCACTCTTATTATTAATGGCTGCCTTTGCCAACAATTTTCACTGTCCCAAGCCTGCACTCAAAAATGTCTAAAATTACACTTCTTAATGTAAAAAAACTATAGAATTAAGACTTGAGAGGCAAAAAACTTTATATCAGTTTTCAACAATTGCCTTTTTTGCACAGAATACTAAATGCCACACGAACACGGAAAAGCCAATATTGGGTAGATTTCCCTTACACATGAATAACTGGCTCCATTAAAGTACCCTTAGAAATTATGCGTTGGGTTAGAAAAAATGCTGAACGATAAAAATTGTTAACTCGAGTCCTGCAGAAATGGAGGAATAGCCTGGTTACTTTTTTCAGCTTTCAAAACAGTTTATGCTCCTGCCACAATAATGCGACTGATAAAGACAGCTCAGTCACCACCCTCCACCCCACGAGCTCGCGGCTCTGCGCGCTCGCACACACCCCTGTGATTATTGGTCCTTTGTGTGTCATGAAAACGTCACAATACTTTACAAGGTCAAGGCCGACCTACACCAACTCAATGAGCCAACAACTCGAAACCCTCCAGACAAACGGAGGGGGCTGGATAAATACAGCGTACAATGACAATGACGCTTCATCCATTCAGCCTCGACCGGAGCAAGCCGCTTCAACACAACCCAGTAATGAACCACCATCCCCCCCGCTCCATGACATGCGAGTGATAGAGCGGCAAAACATGAAAGGCAGGCACCCGGGGGTCGGTAGGCCCGGTAACCCAGATTTAGCGGCTATGACAAACTTGAAAATTACTACACGGGGGCACCCACAGCCGCCAATTGGGGACCGGGTCACACAGCATCAATCAGCCACCGAGTGCAGTGCCGGTGGAAGGGCACCAGTCGCGCCACCGTGCTCACTGGAGCTCACAGCGGAGCCGAGGCTGAGCAGCCATCTGTCTGCGGCACAGCTGACCCCGCCAATGTTTCATGTAAGGACGTGGAGAGTGTCGCGCTCGCGTGGCCCACGTATTCAGCTGCTTGGGTATTTGGGCCCTATTATAATGCTAATAAAATGCAGCTGGTTACATTTTAATTTTTTTAATTTAATGAGTTTCCCCTCCATCTCCTCTCTCACGCAGCTTTAGTCTGCTTCGCTATTATGCCGGCAATTAGAATGGCATCATCGCTTCAAGTCGAGAGAAGAAGAAAAAAACGCCGGGTTGATGTCTCAATCAGTAGTGACATGGCCCTTGAAGATATTGAAAATGATGTTTGTAGAGGGGGAGGGAAAATAAAAATGCACGTAAAAAAGATTAAATGAGAATGAGAAATTTAATTAATAATCAGGCCGCATATATATCTTGGCTTTGTGCATCGTGTTTACAAACAGAATTAAATGGGCAGCTTTTAGTTAGAACAACTGCCACATCTGCGCTCCGTTCACTGGTTGGCTGTGCAGCCATGCAGATGGAGAACTGCCAGGTCTCTTCCATTAGCATTTGGAAAGGTTAAGCGATTCTGTCATTCCCTGGGCGCACGCCACGCTTTGACAGACTCAGGCTCAGGTGCCGGGCTCGACAAAAACGGGAATTTAATTCGGCTTGTTTCTATTTATTACCTCCATTACCGTTGGCTGCTGAATTTAAATGCGGCAGAGCGGGCGGGTAGGGTGGGATGGATTCCTGCGCAGATGGTGGTAATTGGATTGGGCCCGAATAGGAAATTGTGTTTGCAATCTGCATCTCTCGCAGTCTGGACCTTGCGATAAAAGCCAGTCTCCTATCCACCGCCCCTGCAGGCCGAAACTGGTCAAAGGGGCGCTTGAGTTGTTCTTAAAATGAGCGCGCGCGCACATATGCGGGCACGCGCTCGTGCCAACGCGCAACGCAATGCGAGAGAGGCTTAAGGATCCGCCAGGGTCTGGGGCTTATCCGTCTTTGGTGGTTCATCCTGCCGTGTCCAGGCTGTAGATCTCAGCGATACACTTGTGCACGCGAGCAAGTTGTGTTTAAAGAGGCGCGGGAGGTGCATCACTCCGTGTCGCACCGCCGCTGGCGACGCTCATGCTGGCCCACGGGCCGGGTGGGCGGGTTGGGGTTGCAGGGTGATATCGCCAGTGCGGTGTGCGCGGCGGCGGGCGGCACAGCGCGCCAGCAGGGGGGCTTCCCAATCTAAGCCTGGACTCAGGAGCTGCGAGGATGAAATCAACGCTAAGGGGAAGGCGCCCTCGTGAAACGTCGCTCGCTTCGCCTTTGCTCGTTTATATTCCGTTCGCACTACTCTCGCCATCCCAGGTTCAGAAGTCAAACAAAGGCGGCGAGATTGAAGTAAACCGAGTGAACTCTATTACAGAATGCTAATCCAGTTGGCTTGAGACGCCGCAATCTCATCCTACTCCCTGAGAACGTTTGTTCAATGACGAGGAAACAAAGGAATGTTTTTTTTTTTACGCACAGCGTTAACCCCTTCTAGCAGAGCCTTCTCCATTCTATGCTCTATTCTTTGACAAGTATTCCACCAAAGCAGAAGTTGCAGGCTCAATAATTTGGTCTGATTCAGTTCAGCTTTTGTTTACCATCCCCACAGAATGGCAGAAGAGCAACACTGTTGGTTACACTGTGTGCAATGAGACGATTACTAACCACTGGCCTCTTTCATTAACAGCGCACGGTGTCAGAGATGAAATGAAGATTATTAAGCAGCAGCCCCGCAACTAGTTTACTTTGCACTTGTTTCCAGTAAGGTGCTTATGCTGTCTCGAACGAGTATATTCACAAAATAGCCTGTTGTGCCGACGTGATGCGTAAAGACTTTTTGCTAAAAAAAAAACCTCACGCAAGTATGGCTTTCAGTGCGTAATCCAGTGCAGAGTCCCGCAAAACCCTCCGCGATTATTTTGGCACGATCTAAAATTGTATTAAAATTACATGCGGTCGATACCACCACCACACCCCCACCACCCTCCCCCCACCCGCTCATCGGCCGCATCGCAAGCCGTTCATCATGCCAGGGCTGTGCCGCAGGCACAGCATTTAAAACTTCCTCGCGGCTGGTGGCAGGTTTTGCTTTAAGAGATTAGAGTCAAGCCTGGGAGGTGGGCGGACATTTCTGTACCTCCTGAAGAGGCAGGGTTTGATTTTTTTTCAGATGGGTGTGGAAAGTGCTGCTGTAAGGGTAAGTTGCGTCTGAAGAGCATTTATGGCCTACAGCTGGAGGCCTTATGTTGTCAGACTGGGGCAATGTGAACAACAAAGTGGCAACATTTAAAAGTAACCGTTCTTGTAAAAAAAAACCAGAGCAATTATTGATCCCAAAAAAAGACTCCAAAACCACATACCTAAATAATGGAGTGTTCTTTTGAGATTGCAGCAAGTAAAGTTAATAGGTTTTGGGTTAAGCAGATGGCCAGTATCGTGCAGCAGGTTATTTATGGAGCTTGGTCAGACCAATGTGAGTTATTGCTCAGAGAAATCTGGACCGTACAGAGCTAATGAAACACTTCCTAAATTACATACGCACGGTGTGTTCCTTTGAGCGTAGGGATAGTGCAAATTCAACGACGGGCTTGTGTATTCACTTTGTTTACAATTACCATATTGAATACCCGTGGGGAAGGGGAGAATAGAAACATAGGCATTTTATTGAAGTTACGTATCGCTGCGCAATTACATTTATATTTATAAACTTGGTGCTCTTACACGGAAAGTTTTAGGCCTAATGATTAAAAAAAGTTTACTCGGGGGGGGGGGGGGGGACTGTCAACGTTTTCACTTTCTAAATTCCGTCATTTCCAGATGAAAAATAAACAAATGTCACCGTCATTGGATTCGGGAACTTCTTTGTGTGGTTTCTGCAGCTTACCCCAATGCAGGGCATGTAAGAAACCATTGTTACATCTTGCAGCCCCTTCTCGACACTTAAAGAGCTGTGGAGAATTTGGAGGCCTAGGTATCAAACCTGTCCCAAGACAATTGGCAGAGAAGAAACGATTTTGAATAAGCTGCACATATTTTCAAACTTGCTCTGCGCTTAATTTGATCTTTCTTGAAAGTAAAACATGCGCCTAGCTTTAATTAAATCTGTAATCGGACATTTATTGTAATCATAGCAATCGCCCAGCACAGAAATAATGTTCGTATAATATTCCCCTGCAAGCTTAACATTGCAACATCAAACAAAGGGATGTACAATGCTTGACTGAGACAAAAGAGCTAATAAACTAGGTGTTTTGAGGACACAAGTAAACACAGACAAATCTGCATGACGATATCAAAGGCTGCAGAGTAGGGCAGCTTTTGCGGATAGTGCAAGTGCCCTTGAGTAAAGACATACAATCTTGATTTGAATCTTTCGTGACTGCAGGAATCCATACTCTTTGGTTCTTTCGGTAAAGTCACGTAGGTAGAAAAATAAAATAATATATTATTTTTATATATATTATATATATTTTATTTTTCTACCTACGTGACTTAACGGAAAGAACCAAAGAGTATAGACATACATTCTTCCGTAATCCATTTAAAGCACAAAACAAGTACTTTTCTTTTTGGGTGGCGGCTGTGCCACGACACATGGCCACCCTTCAAAGAGAATTTCAGGAGAGGAATATACGCACACATCCACAGTGTGTTGCGAGCAAGAAAAACAAATCTGACTCTCAATAATCGTCACTTTCATTTTACCTTCCTCCCACCTGCTAATTCGCATGGATTTCTGCAGATGGATGTCTGGAATGCATCGGGGGTCTTTGGGCCGGATTGTAAATGGAGCTGAAAACATAATCGCCCACCCTCTTTCCCACCCCTCCTCACCTCTGATGGGTTCTGTGCCTACTTAAGCCTTTTTGAACGGTGGGGAAATGTTATACTTATGACTACAAGATCCCCTTACTGTAGAAAACACGCGTCACTTGTTAAGGCTGGTGAGGTTACGACTGCCGTACTCCCTAAATACAAACGCGACAAGAAATCCAACGTTTTGTTTTACAAGATTAGGCCAATGTGCGATGCTCTCATGGGCAAAACTGCTACACCACAATGAGCAGTTTCTCACCCACCACTTAAAATGCCCAATACACTGTTGCTGTGCCCTAAATGACTATCAAAAGCAATATTTAATGTCACTTAAAAATAAAGCAATGAGTGTCGGTGGAAAGGAAATACTATTCAAATGTGAGTACTGTACTCTCGCCTGGATGGATTATTTTTACCCACTGAATCCCATCACATTGGAAAATCGAGAAAATCATTTTGCTATAAGTCTGATCGAGTTAGGCGAAATTAATTATGTAAAGCAAAATTGTTGGTTGAGTGATTTGAGGAGCCTATGGGCAGTGCTAACCAAGATCAAATATATATATACTGAACCAGACATGCCAAGCCCTAGATTATAATCTTATGCCCTCAAAAGGTAAAAGCTTGTCATTGTGGGTATTTGGCCTTTATGGTTTCAGCCTGGTTATAAATAACTGAACTAAACAGTCATAAAAAATTGGTTTGCACTAACATCAGCTACTTTCGTGTGCGTTTCTTTCCTATTTTCTTCATTGTTGTACTTTTTTATGCTATTGCTGTTGTCATTTTGGTGACCTGTGTCACTCATTCTACGTACTCTCCTGGTCTCTTGAAGATCTGGCCTGGCTAAACGAAATAAAAATTGAAACTTGAAACAGGCGCTGCTCTGAACCGCTTATTCAGCAAATGTGCGCATAGCCAAAAGCTGAAGAGAGCAAAGTTGAGTAGCGGAGTGTGAGACGACGCCTTGAAGGATGCCAAGTAAAATGTACAGATTGTCGCAACTCCACTCTCTCAGAAATCAATGTAAAGCCAATTGTCGAGAGATTCAATATTCTTCACAGTGCACTCGGCTGCCAAAAATTTGTGAAAATGCTTTAAAGAGATGAAAGAGACAAAAACACGAGACATGGAAGTAACTTCTCGCTCTGCAATCTCTCTTCAAGGAAACACGTTGTTTGCAAGCGTCGTTTGGACCTGTGTGCCTACGCGGTCTCAAACGTTGTTCATTTTCTACAACATCCCACCTCCTCTTTCCATACTTGGGCTCATTAGCACCTTCAAGTGCTGCGGTCACAACGAGCACAGCGGGGAGGCAGGTCTCTCCTCCGCGAGATTTATTTTCATAATTCTTCTTTTTTAACCTCCCATGACGTCAAGCGTGAGTCAGCGGGGAGGGAAAAGATAAAGTGTTCGCACGTTGGCACGGTTGGCAGCACGTGGGCACCGCTCACAGGCGTTTCCATCAGCATCGACGCAGAATGGGAACGGCTGTGCAGCTAACACCAAAGTTGCTCCGCTTACCACATCTTTGCGGTTTCCCGGCCCACATCTTTGGTCTTGTTCCACTCTTCTCTGCCTAATCCGGAAACACGTCTTGGGCCGGCGTTCTCGCTCAAGGTCTGGTTACGTGGGGACCTGGCTACGGAGCCTCGAATTGGTTCACGTGAAATTAATTACGCGGGGAGTGGCTTGGTGCCCGCTCTTTGCGCGATTGCTGTGAATGCAGCAGCAATGGCACAGCAATGGCACAGCAAACTGCACTCCGAGGACCCCCAAATGAAATATAATAATTTGAACGGTGGCTTTGATGTAGTTTTTAAGAAATGTCCAAAACCATTTCCCAAGAGGTTGTAGTTGTTGAGTAATGTTCTCTTCGTTAAATGCATTATACTGACACAGAATAATGTGACCGCTGCCTCATTTACATCGCAAAACCTTTATAATAAAGTGAAAACAAAACAAATGTTAAATACAGTTTCTTGCAATGACTATGAATAACCCTTCACTTCAAACACCCTCACCGCAGTCAAGAACCTGTCAACAAGGAACGTCCAATTTTAATTCTTCCAAGGGAAGCACGTATCATGCGCATTAACCATTAACTGTAACGGTTAGATTAATTTGATGGATTATAAAGAGGAAGAAAACTTGTATTGGGCCGTGTAGTAGTGAGAGGGAATGGTTGCTGAAGGAGATGATCGAGGGAACGTTATCGGGGGGGGGGGGGGGGGGGAATGCCGAGAGGAAGGAGAAGAATGGAGATGCTAGAAGACGTTCAACAAGGACGTACATACAGAAGTAGAGAGCAGCGGAGGACAGAGCAACACGGAGGAGAGCAGTGACACGTGCAAGTTGTTCATTGCAAGTGTGCAGGCATCCTGTGGATTCTCTGGAAGGAGGCAAGTTGGGCACAAATGGGCAGCTCCATGGCTGAGCGCAACACGGCGTGTGCGTGTTCACTAAAGCACAGGCCTGGTTCGTTGCAACACTCAAGCCCGTGAGATGCATTAACCACGCCCTGGGTAATCTTCAACGAGAAGACGCACACGCAAGATCGCCACTCTGTAGACACTTAGGCGCTGTCATGCAAACACGCGCATCCATAACACTTGTACGTGTCACTGTGCAAAAACGCAGACGGTAAAAAAGCAAACTGGGCTCAGGGATAATTTTAACAGCGCTGGGGACAAAGCCTTCCCACCAGGGGCACAGGCCGACTGCTATGTTTCCTTTGGTTCTCAAAAGAGCCACTGAGATTCCACGTGGACTAGCTTTCAGTTTACTTTTCTACGACAGGATAGCTGTCGCGCACTTTCACCAAAGTTTTGCCTTGGAGTTATTGCTATCGCGAGGACATTGCCTGCTACGTTAGCCACATGCACTCCATACAATGTACAAAAAAAGCCCTCACTATTGCCTGCACGCAGACACAAACGAGCTGTGTCACGTGGCGGCAGGACCGTGCCGCGCGTGTCGCTGGGCTGAGCGAGAGGTCTGCTGCTGCTGCTTTACCTTGCCGAAGACGCTGTACTCCACGGCGATCTCACGGAAGAAAAAGTAGACGTGCTCCCCGTACTCCACGGCGTGGACAAAATGGGGCTCTGCATTGTGCCCACACAAAGTGAGGGGATGTGGACCACGTGGGTGGGTGGGGGGGGGGGACCACGTACAAACATTATTGAACAGGGGGGCCATTACATACACATGCATGGCACCTCCAGATTGGCTTCGTATGGTGCGAAAGAAGTTCAACATACAGAGACACCCCGCCAACCGCATAGCTGTACAGACTTTTTGGAGAAAGTGCTGCTATCGCAAGCACCGTTAAGGCCTGCACGGCACACGAGGGGGCGAGTGGCCGGCACAACGCCCGGCTGCCTTTGTCTCCCGAGTGGCGATGTTTATACACCACACCAGGTACTCATTTAAGGCTGAGTCGACCTAGGAGAGGCCCAGGACCAGTTTAAATCATCGTGACAGATTCGAACTCGGGTTTCAGGTTTGCAGCGCAGCGTGCTTACTTTTGCGCCACCGATCCCCGCATAACATACGCACGAGTTGTTAAGTGTTTGAAACGCAAGCTTGACTGGTTGAGATGTTGCGATTTACTGTTGCCGGCGCTGCTGTGTACTGGGCCTGCCAATCGATTACACGTGGGTGCCGTCTCACACTGCATTGCGTGCATAATCAGAGGTTTGCTTCACGGGGGCGTGTTGGCCTGTCCTACTGCATTGTGCGCGCGTATGTGAGGAGTGGTGGCGGAGTGGTTAGCACGCTGCGCTACAAACCCCGGCGACCTGAGAAAGCACCAGTCAAAAGTGGGAAGGACACACAGCACCTGCCTCACATGATCATATTCTATTTAGTACGTCCTCATGAGGCACTGCATGCACGTCTTGAGACAGCAGCAGCACATTGGATTAATAAATGTATTCACGGAGGCTCACTACCTGCTTGTCTCATGCAACTCATGTGCCGCTTAATAACAGGTCTGTATGATGACAGGTTATACAGCTAACGTACAGCCACTCATATCTGCTCCACCACGAGGCATAAATTGGTCTCCGCGTAACTTTTAATTCATCTCGTTTCAATTTCAATCTGACCTTTTCAGAAGCAGAGCATGTTAATATCCCGACCGCTGTAGGATGTCTGTAGCTCATTTATGTGGTAAATTATGAGGAGCAGGGAGTGAGTGCTAGGCAGGGGTTTAGAGGGAACAAGGGAGCTTAACGGTGACAATGGGTGGAGACAAAACAAGTGCACCTTTGAGCCACTTTGAGTCGTGCTTGATAGTTCTCAGTGTAGGACCCCCACCCATACTTCTGTACACGACTGCATCTATCGCCAGAAAGTCCGTGACCGTTCCAGAATACATCATTCCATCTGGGGAATAAAAAAAAAATTAAAAACACGCGTACGCACTCGAGTCAATAACACACGCACACCTGCCACAGCCACAGGGTCACAGATGTCGGCGCAATACCACTTTGCGGTTAATTGCTCAATGCATTATGTGGTCGCTTTGCCTGTGACGCACAAATTAATACGCTGAACGCAACATCTGTCAGCGCGGAGCGCGTGCGCGGGATTCGGTGCTTTATGGGAAATTGCATTACATCATTGAGCGGAAAAACCAGATTACGTGACCGCGACGTCCCCCGCCACCGTGCGCTAACGTGGCCTGCGTCGCAACCTGGGTCGCTTTCGCAGCCATTCAGTCGGGAGTGCGCCAGACGACAGCCACCGGAACGCGGCGAAAATATCAGAAGCGTAAACACTACGGGGAGCAGATCGACGAGGCGTGCGCAAATGTCGGGTGCTGTTTGACGTCCGCCCAGCGACCACGCACGTGACGACCCGTCGGAGGGGGAAGAAGCGAGAGGTGCTCACCAGAAAAGAGTGCCACGTTGCTCTGCCGTGAATCGTAGGGACACTTTGCCATGCCACTGATGTCTTCTCCTTCCACCTCCAAGGTGTCAAGCTGTGTATCAGCGAGCACGAGAAAGGAGGAAGGAAATGGAGCAGTAGCACAGGTGAGAGAAAAAGCTTTGACAACAACTCCACAGCTGAAATCAAATTTTAAAAAATCGTAATGAAATCTGTGGGAAAAATAAACGCACACACAAAAGAACTTCTAACCTGATAAAATAACTGCCGCTGCTGTCAAAATGCTGTTGTCAGTTAATTAGTTTACCTCGAATGACATACGTTTTTATCTGCAGTGAGGAGTGCATTTTGGGGCTGTGGGTACACGTTTTCGGGTGTTCACGTGTTTTTTGCCGAATTTGTTCAATTAGCTGAGGTTTAAGGTGTTGGTTCAGAATTAATTTGAAAGGCACAAATTTGGTCCGGCGCCATCGGAGGTGATGGCCACAGAATCACCCCCCCCCCCCTTCCTCCGCCGCATTTCTCCAACACAGACATGCGCTCAGGTTATAGCAGGCAGGCATCCACTTGGTTTATCATTCCAAGGGTGGGGCATCATGGTTTCTACTCCAGTCAATTTTACTCACAGATCCATCCACCCATGTTGAAGGCAGCCGTCTAACAGACAGACAGTTTCGTCCCATCCACACTTTGTTTCAACCACCACACTGCAGGTCACCTTACTTCTCTTTCTGCTTCTTTGCTCGTACTGCTCCACTTTGGAATTCCCTCCCATTGTATCTTTTTTTCCCAAGCTCTTAACAACAACAATAAGAACCATTCACAAATCAAGAAATATGTTAACTATTGTGAATTACAACTTTTAAAATGCTATTTTGTTGCTAAAACAATGATGGGTTTTTTCCATCCTTTGGGCCTGTGCTGGGCAATTGTGTTAAAAAACATAAAATAAAAGTGAAGACAGGGTTGCTTCCACCACTCTAACATAAAACCGAAGCCCTTAACTGAACCAACGCGTGCAAACTCACGTCATGAGGCAGAGGGCCCGTGTTCGCTCATCGTGATTAAATTTAATTTCCCTCTACTCTCTGCCAATTTATTATTACTAATACACACTTTTTAAGATTCGTTTCTTTTTAACCCACGATTTAATTTTTAGATAGCACAACTTTGCAATTAAGTAGACCTTGCGGCATGCAAGATAACGAAGTGGCAAAAAAAAATAGGGTTCCAAAAACAACCCAAGAGATTTTATCCAGATTAAGTATGCCATTTAAATGAAGTACAAAAATAATGCTAAATGATGGGGCAGTTTTTAAAAAGTGACTGCTAAATTGATTTGATAATGAGCAAGGAAATTATTCTATCAAGGTCACATAATTATGTGCAATAGTAAATTATGTGTCACAGAATTAATTATCAACTCATATGGGCACGCAACATTTATTTCACATTTACATACACCACGTGTGACAACACATAAGCTAAATTATTTTTAAAGCAAAGGAAGTGTGTATTTTTTTTATTTAAACTCTATCTACCACACCACAAAAGGGTTTAATAAACCACAATATATCCAGCTGCCAAAACGACTTTGTGGCCAAATAATGATGAAGTGCGTTCATATTCCCTGACACTGAACGCAAACGCATTTGTCTTCAATAAGGCTGATAGCACATTAACGGGAACGTTATAAAAAATTCTGGCAGGGTGATTAAATGCGAAATAATTAATTAGCATCGTAGCAGAATCGTTTAGGTGTACAACAGGTGACATGGCTGGTTTTTAGGGGGGGGTGGGGGCCTGAAAGTTAAATGCATGACAGCTGCCACACCTTGTCTTCACTCACACGATGTACAACGACAAAACCCCGACCTTCTCCTGCCTTCACAGGACGCATCCTTCACCAACTGCCACCCGCCGGCCCATTCGATCTGACATTTAATACTCATTCCTTGGTCAGGAGGCAATTACCCACTTCATTATTTCCAAAGAGCCCCAGAAAAACTTATCTGAATGTAGGTTGCCGAATGCGGGGAGAATCCGGCGCTGAAATCAATATATTTGGACCAAACCTCTCTTGTGATTTTGTTAATTTAATCAACTTTAATGTTACATGCGGAAAGCCGACGAGACACTTGGGAGATTTTGCTTGCACGTTTTACATTCGATGGTTACACGGTGCAATGGTGCCTGGTTTCTCAGGTGATAACACCTTAATTCTGTGACACAATTAATCCTAGACACACCTACAGGAGGCTCGATTAAGAATTCATTAGACATGTTGTAAATTGCCGTTCCGCTTTCATAATTCTACGAGGGAAACGAAATACCTAACTTCAGATTATTTTTTTTACGAATAGCCTATTAGTTTAACTGAAAGTCATTCTTTAAATGTGTTTTTATTTACAATCAATTTCTTTTTATATTATGTCTATGGGCAATAAGCAATATAATAGTATAGCAATGACTCTGATCTGTATAACAAAGTACATATATTTTGTTTTCAGGCCATGCCTTATGTACAATTTATTGAATTACCAGAAGTCTCCAATTGCTTCAATTATGGTTGTACATTTATGGGAAAGCTGCCATGCAGGGAGTTTGGTTTTGTTCAGATTTTGTATCATAAATATTTACTCTTTATGAATAAGGGTATTCAAAACAGCATTAAGTGCCTGCATGCTGTGATTCATTGCACTCTCTCCTACTGTGCATCTATATTTCTGAAAAGTGCTGATCTCTGCATTTGAACAAATTTGGTTCCATGCATACTCTATGCCGGAGGCAATTAACACCGCTATTGTAAACACTATAAGTCAGCAATTCCAGCACCTTCACCGCTATTGCTGTTGTCACAACTTTCGTTCACCACCATCAACACTATCATCATCCCCAACCACTGACATTTTAAATGAGCTAACAGCGCATAGAGCAGCAGTCTCAAGCAATGCATGTTTTTCATGTGCAGCGACATTTTTTTCCTCCAACCTCTTAAAAAATAGGCACAAAGGAAACAATAGCCACAAAGGGTGACCTTCTCATGGTGCTGTGCCAGAAACAAGGAAGCATTCAGCTAGACGTTTTATTGTTTGTTTGATGTACATTAATCCTCTTTGCCATAACAAAGACATCAACGCGGCCTTTGGACCACTGAGCCCCCATGTAAGCTAATCCCTATTGAGGCAGAATGGCTTCTTGGGTAACATCAAGGCCGGTTAACCAATGCGAAACCGTCGCAAGTGTTTATTAATTTCTCCTCTGTTAACTTATCCCCGAAGCATGTGGTTTATACATTTTTCATAAGACCACCATTTTAGAAGGTTGCATAATTTCCCGTGGAATTTATTAATTTTTAGCCATGGATGCATTAATTATTTGGCAACAAATTCACGAGCTAACCTGAGGTTATTCCTTTTTTAAAATAAAAACCATTAAGTCCTGTTTTATACACGTGTATAGTACCGGAATAGCAGCTTTGACGATGCGTGTGCAAACGGTTTATTTGTTTCTTGTTACAGTTGCTTTTATTGCCACTGCAGATGCTGAATTAGATCATTCGTCCATCCTCAGAACCCCCCACCCCAACACCGACCACTGAGGACAAAGCCAGTGCAAAGATAACCCAAGTACAAAGCAAGTTTATTTTGAATTAATGGCAACATCACAGGGCCAATGATCTGGCCAGCAACTTTAAGGGGTTTCTCCACATTCATTTTGTGAGGCAGATCAAGGATAGGTACGACAGTGGGGATGGTCACTTTACTCACGGTCCACTTTAGACTACTCAAAAACTTTACAACGTGTACGCCCATTTCTTTAACAGTGTATTTCTTTCCGGTTGCTAATAACACATAGGCTGAGGGATCAAAGTAAGCCTAAAGGCACAATTTGTTCTGTGTTTTTCAGGAGGAGATGCTCATTAGTAGGAAGCTACAAAAGCCTCATGCCGATAGAATTGTGTCTACAACAGTTCAAGTTAATTTAATTTTCATGTGCCTTTTGTTAATTAATAACATGCCACAGACATGTGTACATTTTGTACTATGGATTGACAGGACTTCCTAACGTGTATGTCTGTGATACAAATATGCTATGTTTAGCTATAACACTGTTCGGCGAGTGCTGTCAGCGAGCACCTATTAAGGCCAGCAGAGAACCCCAGGGTGTTGGTGTGACCAAAACTGCACCCAGTCATTTGCAGGTGGTTAGTGCACTGCTCAACAATCACCGCTACAGGGTGTTAGTTCAACTCCTGGCCACACAAAACACGAGTGGTAAATGGTATATAAACCTGATCTGGGATTCCCCTAGGCCGATTCAGCCTAAAACGAACAACGTACGTGATGGAAGACATGCTGCAACTCGCCGCTCAATCCACGTGATTTATTGAACTTGTCATGACCTGGGGATCATGGTGAGCTTCAGGAACGATTTTTTGTGTCTTGGTTATACTCTCCGTCTCATATGTACTGACCTGGTCGTTCTGTTTCTCTTCATTCAAACCGTTAACGTAACGGAATAAGTTGCAGGAAGAAAAACCAGTCAAATTTTCCACGCACATTTCAAACCGCGTGTCACAGATTCAAACATCTATGTAAATCAATGAATTGTAACATGCATTGTGCATGAAGTTTCATCATCGCTACTTGAAAGACAAATCTGGTGGGACGGAGACATGGTGCTGACCACACCTTGCCCTCACGTGGCTCTCACGTGCCATGCTGGAACTCAAGAGGTGCTCGCTAACAGCACTGTCTAAACTATTTTTGTAACTAAAAAATGTTTTATTTTATCAGGTAAGGCCCACTGACCTATTAGCTCATTTTCAGAAGCGACCTGGCCACAAATGATAGCTCAACCAAGTGGAAAATTATAGCAGCCAAATACTCTAAACGCGTGTTGACTGTAAATGTGGAGGGAAAAAGTTGAGGAGCCGGAGAAAGATCCACGCGACCACAGGGAGAACATGCAAACTCAAAATATATAGGCGTCAGGGTTGGTATCGAACCCATGACCCCCTGTATACGAGGCAAGGTAGCAAACATCTCGCTTCCCAAGAGTCTCGACAGGAGTTGGGATTGTGTGCGTAAAAGTGTATGTTATACTGCGCATGCTTTTTGTGCTTTTTAATCTTACCAGGTAGTTCCTGCACATGGGGTTGAAGGCGTTGGTGCCACACACGAACATGCTGTTGTCTCCTCTCCTGAGCAGCACTTTAATGTAGTTCCGGCACTCCGCCTAGGCACAAGGGGTGAGCGTTTCTTCCCTCGGCACGATGTAAACACGATTTTGACGCACGAAAATACGACGAGTCATCCTCAAATGGAAACACCACTGGCTTTGAACAAATAGCCCAAACCCACAGGCGAGCCTAAACTTCGCAAGCAAGTGACCAAGAGAACCAAAGAGGCATGGAACGATTCACTACCCCCCCCCCCTGCTCCGAGATACTTTGGGATTTCCAGGATATAGGTCACAATTTGATTCAAGGAGTCATTAGCACCATCTTACTTGTAGTGTTTGTTTCATTGTCTTGTCTCATTCAGTCCGTTAGCCTAAAGTTAACATTTGCATATCATTTCCCTAAATCACCTAGCTGATCAATCCGTAGAGCATTATTTCATGCAAGTTTCATGAGCATGAGGAACTGTAATCATGACAAGCCGACAGTAGTTGTCGATACGTTATAAGCAATGGAAGTAAAGCGAGTGGATTTAATCCATCTGTGTGGCACTCGGCATTATCCCCTTCCATGTGTGGTTTGTCCACACATACTCTGGTTTCCTCTCGCGTGAAGCCAAACACACAAATTTAATTAGTCAATAATCCTAATGAAGGACCCTTCAACAAGAAAGTCTCAACATCGCAGTGAGGCTTCCCTGGATAAACAAAGGTTATTTTACCTTTTAAAATTGTCGGGACATAATTGGTGGTGCCAGGTAAAACGTGGACCTCACTAATGCCGCCCAAAGTAGAGTGATTCATATCTCTGCAAGATGTGTGTGTGGTTTGAAGAGTTAGCAGTGAAACAAAAAAAGGCCATTAACAATTTGAATGTAAATCCTTTCTCTGTGGGTTACTGAAGTTAATAATGTAAAACTGCTTTAATTTAAATCTCTATTGATTCAAAGTTGTACCAAACGTTCAGAGGATCTATTACAAAGACTCTGTATAGCCTAAGACAGGGGTCACCAAACTTTTTTCACAGTGGGCCGGATAACTGAAAGAATGACGAGCGCGGGCTGCATAATAAATAAATAAATATTTCTGGAGCGTCGGACCTGTGCTGACAGCTGGAAAATCTGGGGGCGGGAAAGATGCGTTTTTGTGTGTGTTGCCATGGAAACCATGGTAACGTGTTGCCATGACGTTGCCATGGAAACCATGGTAACGTCAGGGCGTAGGCGGAGCTACCACGAGCCGGGGAAGTACTTGGGATGGCGCGAAATAAGCCAACTTTACAAGAAACAAGAAAATCTAGATACAATAATTTAAAATTTAAAATAGTACATTTAAGGAACACAGCGGTAAGGAGGTCTCTGCACGCGTGAAGATCTCCTAGTATTCTAAACATAATATTTAAATTCTATCACAATGTCTCGTGTTCCATACGTTTTATCAACCAAATTCAAGTACCGTGTACCGTCGGCGGGCCTGATGGACTAACGTCGCGGGCTGTATCCGGCCCGCGGGCCGTAGTTTGGTGACCCCTGGCCTAAGAGACTAATTGACATTTGATTGTTTAATGAGAAAAAATGAAAGTGGGGCATTTTATTTTTGTGATAAGAAAACAAAAGGTTCCTGGATTTCTTGTTCCGATTTAACATAAATCAACACGAAATCATAATTAGAGAAGTTGTGGAGAATCTAAGAACTACATCCCCCCCTCCTCCCCGGGTTGTCTGCCTGCCCCCCCTCATGAACCAGGACACGTACATGGTCCTGATGAATATTCGTGTGTGGTTATTGTTTGTCTCCCAACGTTCTGCATCGGGTAGCCTTTGTTCTTGTGTATAGCAAAAATTAAAAATATAGCATGTTTTTTTTTTTTAAAGTTGCAACGACATAAGCAGACAATACACACCCTTCCACATCTGTTTCTTCAGATAAACAAGAAATATTTAAAAAACATTTTAACACATCCCATCAGCCATACAGCCTTTTCAGAGTAAATAATTTCAACAGTATTTCGTCAAATCTTGACTTAAAGCTTTCGTGACTGTAGGAATTCATATTCTTTGGGTCTTTCGGTAGCTCTCCCGCTATATTTTTTAACCTGATGACGATTGCTCGTGTTGCGATCGAAACGTCGTGATAGTTTTCTTATTTTTCAATCTACGTGGCTTTACCGAAAGACCCAAAGGATATAAACAGTATTTCGTCAACACAAACTCTGAACCAGTTTTGACATTCAGTGTCTCATCAATAGTGTCAGGCTCAGCATCGCATCAGCAGATTCAGGTTCAGTGTCGCATCGCTGAGACACTGCATGTCAAAATCAATCCAAAGTCTGCTTTTTTTGAACCCATGTGGCCTAATGTCTGCTTATGTATTGTTACAAAAATTACCCGTTCCATTGTTTTAATAGCTGCGTTGCTACACCTGTGGGGAAAGTGTCTGGCCAGGTTGGGAAAATTACAGATTGGCTATGCGAGCGGTGGTTGTCCTAGCTATGTCTGGTTAGACCAAACAAGTGTCTCTCAGATGCCTGAAGTACCTCCTCACAGTATAACTGCATTTATTTGAACTGTACAACAGTCGGGCAAATAATATGGGTGATAACTGGAAATATCAAGTTCCACAGTTTATTGTTAATTTTCAACTTGAAAAGTGATATCTTTAGAAGGGCCCCCAAAATTGGATTTGAAAAACATGCAAACATTCCATTACATTTCTCCCTGTGATTGTTTAACATGTACATTTTCAAATGACTTCATCTGGATCCTTTCATTTTTTTATCGAGAAGAAATGAAGGCAACTGTAATGACAAGTTTAATTATAGTCCAGTGAATATTCTCTAAGTGGACTCGTTATTCCAATTGTATTTTCTTGTCTGCCTTGAGTGAAATTTTACCCAGTGCAACGCTGTTATCTATCCACAATTAAACAGAATTGCTTCACATTATTGTCACTTATCACAAACAACAACATACCTCGGGAGATGTTCACTGTTTGTTTCACTATGTTTTTAATTTTGCCATATAAAACAAATTTTGGTGACAGTTACATTTCTTCTTTCATGGGAGAGCAGTAGTGCAGTGGTTGGCAGGATGTTTTATGAACCCAGCTAACATAGTTTGATTCCGTGCCACTGTTAACATCAGTGGTGTGTCATATCTGAACTGATCCTGGGTCCCCTTGATATTAATCAATGCCCTTCATCAACCTGCGCTGACCAGTGAAGGTGAAGTATAGTGAAACAACCCCTATGACTCATCTGTTTTAGAGGGTCTTCATCCAGAAGTCGTTTTTACAAAAGGTGACAAATTATAAATTGTATTTATTTTATAAAACGTGACCACAAAACATCGGATGATTATAACACTTACGTGGGCTATCTTAGCCATGTGTATTCAACTTAAATGCTGTAAAAAATTATAACCACCCTTTTAAAAGCAACCATAACAATAATGTTTGTGGTGTATAATATTGATAATTATATAGTTTTAAAAAATGTGCATTTCAATCATAGCTGTGGAAAGATTACTGTAAAAGCTCCTAGTTTTTCTATCAGGTGAAATTCAGCTCAATGATGTCCATGGACAGACTAAAAGTGGCATTGTGCAGTCATATATCAGCGTGATGAAGCAACTCCTCTCAATACAAGATATGCCAAATGAGTGAACTGTATAACGAAATCGGGGAATGGGGGCATGGGGGCCTGGTGCATGCGGCCTCCTGCTGTCCTTGCAACCAGTGAGTGCTGAAATATGTATGAAGCCCTTCTGTTCATGCAATGTTCTGACCTGTAATGCAAGACCCCTGAGGGATGGATGCACCGCTGCTCCGGAGCACTAAAACCCTGCCAAAACCAGTGGCCACGTGCACGTGTGATGTGAGGGATAAAGAGAGGACGCCGGGAGCAGGAGGAACGGTGTGGAATGGAAGTGGACAACGGTGGGAATCAATGTAGGTGACTGTGGTTCTTAGGGGAGGGGTGGGGGTGGGAGAGGGCATAGACGAAATGTGAGCGAGGGGTAGAGGCTGGTAGGGGTCGGTAGAGGCTGGTGGAGGCTGCAAGGAGAGGAGGAAAGAGGGGTGTGGGCACACAGTTCGTCTCACCTCCTGTTTACCCTTCATGAAGCACGTCTCCCTCTCCTGTTTACTTGACCTCCAAGTTAGCCTCTGAGAGAAGGAAATGGACAAAGCAGCAGGATTTACACTTTACAGAGCTCCCTTCCCCCCTTTCAGAGCACACAGACAGGCCGCCACAGGGCTGCACGCTTTTACTGCTCACACTGAACACTGACAACCCTAAACCAAGGCAGTGCTAAGATTGATGCGATAAACTTATTCAATCAATACTCGAGTTTACAACTGTGTGTTGAGGTGAAAAAAAGGAACCCATAATATAAACATGGTTAAATTAAGGAAAGAAGTCTATAGTTTCAACAGTAGAGCCTCAACAGACCTCAAGCAGCTTTGGCAAAATGTAATTGCACTGCTATTAGCAACTTTGGACAATGCTGAAACAGCAAAGGTGCATGGTACAAGCAATTGCTTGCTCACACCAGCCTAACGAGCCAATTTAGAGGATACTTGGCCTACTGTTCCATGCTGGCCAGACATGTTGGAAGGGCTGGGAGGAGCACTCACACTTTGCTCCACCACAACGAGGCGGTTGGGTGGGTGAACGTAATAAACGTTCACCTCTGGATTGCAAGCCCAGTGTGCTAACCATGACACCACGGCAGTATCGTTGCAGACTGTACTCGACACCAAACACAGAATCTTGATTCACGTTGATTTTATTTTTGGTGGTGGATCACTGTTATATTTGCAAGCATTGTAAATCACTGAATTTTGTGGTCGTCTCATTTAAAGGTGAAAAAAAAACATCAAATCCGTTGCCTGCTTCTCTTGCAACGCAACCCAATACGTGCAACGGAGACAGGAAAGCGGGCAAAAAAAAGATCCCCGCAGGATGTCGAAGCCACACGTTTATTTTTATTTGCAGAGAAACATGGTAAACGCTATGCTTCCCAGCAATGCAAGCTTAACACACAAACCAGGTGTGGCTTCCTTTAGCCTTCCATTGTGCCAAGAAACATTAATCATTCTAGCTTCCGTCACAAATGCTGGCATTAATCTTAAACTGGCTACGAGCGTGCATTAACGCTTTCCACGCGTCACCGTGTATTCAGGCTTACGTACATAACGTTCAGCACGGAAATACAAATGGATAAATTTTAAACCATTTGGCACTTTTTTGTGCATCTCTGTTGTGTTTTTCAACTTGATCATCTTTTTTGATCCCTTCTGCATTAATGCACATGAATGGTGTTTCATTCCAATCGCTGGTCAGAAGAATTTCGGCAATCTCAGGGTTATGTGTCCCAAAGGCTTACTGCAGCCAATTTGATTGCAGTTAATTTGTACACTGTAATTACTGCTGTAAAAAAAGCCTTGACTGGGAAAGCAATTTGGCAGTTTTACCAACATAATGCGTCAACATCTTTTAGCAAAAATAAATGCACTGTGAAATTTGGTGAATAAATTTAATGGTGTTTGAATGGCCTTGTTAAATATGGAGAATTGGCCCAAAAATACGCTGAAAAGCTAATCACAAAACTGCCAATTATCATTAATGTATTTTAAACAATTGCCACAATTATTGAAGGGACCTTATTGTATGATCTCACTGTGAAACAAAAAATAAAAATTTTTGTTCCTGGGTAGTAAGTGTTATTTTCTAATTGCTTATGCCTCAAACGTACAGAAAATGGTTATTATTATTCCCCACAAACTTTGCTTTTGTGACCAGGACACAAAAGCAAAGTTAATAATCCACTCCATTAATAACACTGTGTAACAAATTTAATCATTTTTTGTTCCTGGGTAGTGTTATTTTTTAATTGCTTATGCCTCAAAAGAACAAAAAATGGCTATTATTCTTCACAAACTTTGCTTTTGTGACCAGGACAGTGATATTTTGAAATTTACCTATTTTCAATGAGAATTCGTGGTGTGCATTTGTGTCATTCCTTCACATAAAGTCCTGGTTACAAAAGCAAAGTTTGTGGGGAATATTAGCCATTTTCTATACTTTTGAGGCATAAGCAATTAGAAAATAACACTACCCAGGAACAAAAATCGTGTTACAGTGGATCTTTATTTAGTCTAAAATCAAATGAGATAAGAAATCAGGTTAAAAGAGAGATTTCATTCCACCTCTGTCTGTAGATTAATCTCTTGCACGAGCGATGAAATCATAGGTGCAAAGGCAGAAATTTGACATTTTGGAAGCTTAATTTGTATCTTGAGCCTTCATGGTAATTACACTGTAGCGGAATGCGTCTCCCGAAGCACAGACATAATAGCCTGGCACTTGTCATCTGGCTGTGAATTTTTTTTTTCCCTCATGAAAAAGAAAGATCAGAGAACACGCTTTTTTAGAATTATAATGTAGGTGTCAGACACTCTGCAAGTTCAAGACATTTTTTTTGTTCTTTCCCGTTTAATGGGCATTATCGGTTTACAGTCTTTTTTTTAAAAGGCAGAGGCACTCCGTGCGGACTTGAATATGGCGGAAGCAGCATCCAAACACTTTATCAAGGCAGAGTTTGCCATCTACTCGGAAATGAAATAATTACAAAAATAATTAAGATAAACAGAAACTGCAGCTACCACAACACCAGCACATTGAACTTTGTCATTAGGTGCACAAGGGTATGCAATTCACAACCTAAACGGCCCTGAATACGTTAATAGGGCAATGGAAATGAAATACCCCCCCCTGCCCCCAATACTTTTCGCGTATGTAAATGGAAAGTTAATTAGACAAGAATTCTGGTTTGCTGCAACCCTGGAGCGTTCATAATTAGCAAATCAGTAATTCCCTGGTGAACGTGCAGTGGCCTGCTTGCCCATTCTTAATAGGTTCAACAGATCAAAGTGGGAGTCTCAACCAAATAAAAAAATACATTTTGTTAGTTTGTCTATTAAAAAAAATATATAACACTGCAGACCTCAAAACAGTCCGGATGCATTCAAGCTCTGCTGCCTCAAATGTGTAACCAGGAAAAGTTATGCGGCCGAGCATGAGTGTAGCCGATGTGACTTAACAGGCTACCCTTTTAAACACACACACACACACACACCCTACCAGCCACGGAAATATTGCAATTAATGCATCGTCTAAAATTAAATTCAAAACTGTGCTCTCTTGCAAGCCGCACGAATTAGTCGGCGAAGTCGCTCTGCGGACCACTGCTCTCTCGCAGGGCATCATGCCGCTGAAACACGGCAACTGATCAAAAAAAGTCGCGCAAGGCAGTGATATTTCAGTTGACCTCACCTTGTCGTAATATATCTCATCTGATAGGGGCGCGTCCAAGTCGAGGCCATAGATGTGATCTCTGCAAAGGGAAAGGCACAAAGCTTCACGTGGTAGCTTTACATTTTTTCATTGAGCAATTTCTTTTTAAGCGAGCTTCCATGCGGAGCCTCACTTACTAAAACGATCAACTGTGCATGTGTTTGCATGAATACGTCTGCACATTGTCACCATTCATGCACGCGAGTGTGTGCATGGCAGCGCTGTGCTACGTTAAGTGCAATGGCCAGATAATTATTTAACTGTAACAGAGCCAAACTTTTCCACGACACCCAGGTGATATTTAAAAAAACTTTCACAAATGAAAACCCACGTCAGGCTCATGAGTGTGAAGTGAAAAGTAGAGGCGTGTATTGTGGTGTTAGCCAATCACCCTCTTTACTTATGAGGACCTGTTAATTATTTGGTGAGGCTGCTGCATCTGGCAGCGATGCAGACAATTGCCACAACAACTCACGTTCGTCAAGCACTGCCTTCACATTTTTTAAAAATAGGCGACGATTCAGCCATGGGCTCTTCTAAGAGCACACAGAGAGAGGCCTAGGTGCTGTGAATAAGAGCCATTGAAGGAAGGGCCATTACCAGAAACATGACCTATTATATTGTTATTAATGCGGTTTTATTGATGAATGTGTTTACATGTTTAGCGTGTGGATAAGTAGGCTCAAGTGGCATTTTGTTAAACATCATAGGCAACATCGTCCTAATAAGCTCAAAAAAATTAATTAAGAAAAAACTTCCAACTCAAAACAAATAAATGACAAGTACACTCCTGTAAAAGCTCTTGCCCTAGTGTAATAATTATGTAGATGTCTATCAGCAGAATGCAAATGCATATAATAATGTATTTTGTTCTCAGAAAAATGGAAAAAACCTCACACAAGATAACAGAGCATCACAATGCTGCCCTTTATGACTGAGATAATAAAATAACATTACTAATTGCCCAGCACACAACAAAGTACACAACAAAGGCTCTTTATTAAACTGGCTGGCCCAGTTTGGTTTCGGGGCACTTAGGACGCAACAGCTATTGCCGAGAGTGCCGTCGTCAAGGGCTGTGGGGGTGGTCCAAGGAAAACGCTACCCGAGCCCGTTTGCGCCACACATTTGAAACCCACACGCACTGCACCGCCCATACACGGCCGCCACCGGCGTATCCCTTACAGCTGTGCCGGTCCGCACGTAGGCACTTAACAGGTGGAGCGCGGGGGCCCACCTGTTAACGCACCACGGAGTGCGCCAACATACGTCAAGCCGAATGAGACTGCGCATTTTTTTCTCATCGAGCCGCACCTGGTATGTACCTGTTACCAGGTTACCCGCCGTGTGTGTGTGTGTACACGGTCGTCTTTGGCATACATCGCAGAAATGTTCAGCAGGTGACATGAGGGTAATCAACACAGAAACCCGTTCACTACTCCCCGCTTTGACATGGACCCTGTCCGTGATGATGAATAAAAACAAACAAAAAAAAACTGTTTGCTCAAATAATTGAAACAATTTTCAACCAAAAAAATGATATGGGTCATATGTATCTTGCTTTTATTTCAAACAATATAAACCTTCCTTTTTTGACGGCCCCCAAGCTACCTGTGTAAATATTATATTCGAGTCACCCACACACCGTGCGCTCCCATTCACCCCCGGCGAGGCAACTCAATTTGCTGTGCACGTAGCATGTCAGCTGCAGTGCTTGTGAGAGGCTGCTGATGGGGTTGGTGGGGGCAGGGGCTCCGGGCGAGGCCAGGGCGGCTTTAAGGAGGCAGCCGGCAGCCGGTGGGGAAAGAGCGGGCGATGGGACGGACTGGGACTGAACATTTGGGCGAAGAGCTCCGTCTTATCTTTGCCAAGCAGGGAGAAACAAATGCCCGCACCAAATCTCGGGCAGCTTTAAAGTGCATGGCTGCACCCTGCTCCACCGTCCCTCCCCTGCGCAGATAAGCTTGAATGGACAGCTCGACAGTATCTCTTGTGATTTTTCTCTTCTCCCCAGCCCAGCAAGCCTCCGTTACAAGCGGGAACAGAGCGGCAGTGTGCGAGACTGTCACCGCACTGAAGCGTGAGTGTCAGATGCACCCAAATCAGATTTTGCACGGTGGCATAAGGAGCGGAGTGTGGGGGTGGAGGGGTGGGAGGGAAGGTGGGGATGAGGGGCCCTACGATTGATGTTCCCGATTTCATCAATTTCATTTCCCGCAGCTCCCCGGAGAGCTGGCGGGGGTGGGGGTGGATGGGATGGGATAATTTGAGCAGCTCGGCGCACGACGCTAGATTGCTCATGGCACGGTCAGATTGAACGGTGGCGCCTGCAGCCGGCGCGATGGCGGCGGGTGGGGGGAGAGAAGCGCTGGCGGCCGGCGCGTCAAGCGAGCGGGCTATCCTGAAAAGCCATTTACCTAAAACACGCGGGCCTCGCTGGACACCCACACGCGAAACGAATCCGAAAGTAAGCGCCACGGGTGGGAGGGAGGGCGATTAAACACGGGTTAGGGGGCACGATGGTCACACACATCTGTGAATCCAGTGCTCAAGAGGTGGGCGTTTGTGGATCGCACAGATGTCGTCAGTGTGTGCACGAGTCACCCAACCTACTGGACTAGGTGGCTGGTAGTTGGGAGTACAGCAGGTAGGCTCTGGAATTCTGCATGGAATGTTGATAGTTTTTTCCTTTAACATGTAGGCGTTCACGACCAATATTATTTATAGGAGGTTTTTTGGGTTAGATCGCATATATATAAATGCGTCGTTAAACCCCCCACCACCCAGCACAGCCAATTAGTAAGGTTTGTCACGTAAACAAAACGTGCCAATTAGTTACTAGCACAGCACATCGGTGTGTTGGTGAGTAAACCCACAACATTTACAATTCGAGTACGACGTTTCTCCAGCAATTATGAGCATTATCAGGCGACAGCCACATTTGTGGAGAAATCCTCCTGCTTCGTTCAAAATTACGAAATGTCACGGTACTCGAATTGTAAATGTTGTGGGTTTACGCTCCAACACATTGGTGTGCTGTACCAGTCATGAATTGGCATGTTTTATTTACGTGACAAACCTTACTAATTGGCTGTGTCGGGTGGTAGCGGGTTTAACGACAAATTTATATTTACGTGATCTAACCCAAAAAAAAAACCTGTTGAGTAATTTCCTTGTACCCTTTGATTTATTTAAGCGATCTGAATTCCTCGCACGCACAAAAATACTAGCAACGGACTGGCCAACTATCACAAAGGACACTGCTGAAAAATAGTCGTTGCACTCAGTGAGGGTTTCACGGCTAAATAAATATTGCATCGTTCATTACGGTTGTGGAACTCTAATTCACCATAAAACATACTTGTCCATCCAGGAGTTCATCTTTCAGTGAGTAAGTTTCGACGGGGAAAAATGCGTGCTCATTCTGACTGAAAAGAACCAAGTCCCTATGATATTCATCCTGAACAATATATGACATTTCACCTCGGTCAAAAAACATGTGATCATGTTTTTTAACCCTGCGAATATCATGGGGTCTGAGCCATTTGGGAATGGTTGTGTAAAAAAAATTGGTTCACATATGAAGGGGACAAAAGGAGTAATTTCAGTGGGCTTAAGCCATAACCTTTGTGAGGCATATTCTAATGAATTAAAAGCAGTTAAAATGGCACGGATAATTTCCTAGGCTGGAAGTTGTGTGGATATCACATGGTTGACATTTTATTATGCTTAGTGTGCGACACCGTGACATCCAAGCTATTTTTATTTTGATACGTTGACTGTAAATTTTACGAGACAGAAAGGCTTACCAAACCACACGTAATATGGCATTTTTGTCAATGTTTTAAAATCCCCGGCTAATGCTTTTTTCTGATTCCTTAATACCCCTTCTTACATGTAAACAAACAATGCGGTAAAAATACATTTTAAAATCCCAGGAGTTGCCAACAAATCTTTTAATCTGTGTGCAATACAAACCGATAGGATACTGTGGATGAAAAAGAACAGACGCAAAATTAAAGTTTATTTTCTCTTCTGCAAAAATTGCAAGTAATCCTTTTTCTTTTCTGATTAATTTGAATATCCTCCTGTATACTGGCTATTGGCCCCATTTTCAGAGTGAAAACTTTCCGTGCTCTATGAGAAGAGTATGCTTCTAAATAGCTGTGTAGATCCAGGATTTTATTTCAGAGCGCCAACTATTGTACGAATATATGTTAACTCTAAAGTTGGAGGTGTTGGCAACATTCATCAGCCTGAATGACAGAAGAGGCAGCTGCATTTTCTTGGCAGATATTATTCGTCGGGGCGTTATCTTTGCCAGGCTATTTGATAAGTCTGTGAAATGCAGTTTTTTTTTTACATCGAGCATGCAGGAAGTTTAAAAAAGAGTTAAGAAACATTTCTATTGCCAGAGTTTTGTATATGCGAAATAAGCCATCACATTCCGTGCTCAACCACGGAGTGAGATGCAATGTCTAAGTGGCATCTACTCGTCCACCAGAGGGTCTGTAGGGAAAATGTAATTGCAAGCTAGTTTGAAATTCAAAGCCTATTTAGGAATTCAATTCGGAGTGGTTACAAGCAACGAGTATCCAGTGTTTTTATCCACAGCTGATTACATCAGAACCTTGATGACATTTTATCTCAGACTTGCGGTTTCCCTTGGGCCTTTCAAGCAGCTTGCAGTTCAGGACTTCGGCACTGTTTACAGTACTGGACAGTGACATCACTGTTGGGTAAAGGCGCAGCCCTGAAATTGCTTGCTCGTGGCACTGCTGGCAGAAGAGCCTCCACGAAAGGGAAATATATAAAACCCCTTTTCGAGGCCATTTTTGGCCCAGTGTCTTGCCGGAGGTGGGAGTACCTACATTTTACCCCACCACTCACGACTTTCTGCTTGACTGTGGTGTACTCATTTCACCTGCTGGGTGGATAAGAGGTGGGGGGGGGGGGGGAGCGGAGAATTAAGAAACTTGCCCCATTGTTTCAACTGCCGTGCCGGGAGATTGCGCAGCGAATTTTGGATTGCAAGCCCAG